GTAACTGTGTGTCATAGATAGTTTAATACTATAATTCTAGCATCGTACTACATAGATCTATATCCTTGGAAATTTTTCTGTTTGTCAAATATATACTTCCCTTTTTACGTCTTTAAGCAATTGATTATTGTTTGGGATACATTGGCGAATAAGTAATATATTGGCACAAATGTCGGCCAAAAACCTCATAAATTTAAGCAAATTTGATTTTGGTAGGTCGAAATCTGCCATGTAAAAACTGATTCACTGAGGATGAAATTGCCCAAATAAGTTATGCTTTTGTCTACTGTCAAGGCTTGATTACTTCTTTTTTGGAACCTTAAGGCATGCCCTGTAGTAACACATAAAAGTCATGATCCAGAGATTTAGAATGGATAGGTGTAACATGCATAAGATTGAGGCATGTTGTGCTACGACGGAAGGACTGATGTTGGGTGCTTTCTGGGGTAAGGTATAAAGGATTGGATGAATAGTTCTCTTTGTGTTTTGTTTTAGTGTGACTACTCTGTATGGGTCAGTTCCTAACTGAATGATTTTAACGTCTGCAGTTTTTTGAAGTCCTATTCTGCTTCTCTTTTTTGATGTTAAGCTTTTCTGTAGGTATTTATGAGAAATTTTCGGGTGCTTTTTCTAAGGCTGTAAAAGCTATGCAAGTTGGCAATGGGTTGGCAGAGGGCACCGTCCAGGTTCTTTCTTCCTTTCAAGTTCTGAGTTTTTCTTATCGCGCTCGAGTTTCATAAAGTATTCCTTGTTTTCTGTTTAGTTGAGCGCTTTCCTAAACCGTTGAATGGAGGCTTTCTGTAAGCTGTCTTCTTGTGAAAGACCTCTTGAGGATCTCAGGGGCAGACGAGGATAGAAAATTTAATTTTCTTGTGAAAGTGGAAAAATAAATTACCTTCCTTGGAATCATTGGTACCTTCGTACAGGTGAAGTCTCACCAATTTTAGAACGGGATATGAAGTGAAAAGGTGGGTGCTTAAGGTTAGGGATACATGAGTCAAGTGGAAACAGAAGTGTTGTTAGGAGAGGATCTAGCCTTATTGACTTATGGGAAGCATCTCTGCAACTTGATGTAATTCAACCTCAGTAATCGTCACGATTTGGAGAGGATGGTGTGTGTATACGATTAAGAGAGGGTGTGTGCACACGATTTTTACCCAGAAAAAGAAGATACTAGTTGTTTTTAGGTTAAAATGCCAGGAAATATTCAAATACCGCTGAAAAGGAGTTGCAGTTTGTACCACGTAATAAATCATGGATAGTGTGATTATGAAGGGGATATTATTGGACGTGGGTGTTCTCTTATGGAGATTTGGAGATTTGGGAAGACCTCCGATAGTTGGTGCAGCTTGTGACCACAACTTTTGGCAGATGTCATCATTTGTTGAAGGCAACAAGCGGCTTGATAATGACTCATATCCTCAAACTATGGCAGGAAGTCTCCTCACAGATCTGTCAGGGTAGAAAGACGCCTTGATATTTCTGTAGATGGGGAAGGTTTATTTGGGAGAATGGAGATTAGGTGAAGAAAGTAACATGTAATCTCAGATCTAAAGATTTCAAGTTGGAGTTATTATGTACTTCACTACCATTTTATAGCCCAGTATGTAAGAAGGCTAATACGACTGAAACAAATAGTTTCATATGCAGGGTGAGTGGTGGGCACTGTAGTTGATTCAATTTTTTGTTGGGAAGGAATGCCGAGATAAGTGAGGTTGGTTGAGAGTGTTAAAAGGAATGTTCTTCTTGCGGTATATTCATAAACAGGTTTCAGATTTGAAGCTACACAGTACAAACCGAATAAATTCCTATTGAATGTCGTGGGAGGTTTCAAAAATCTTGCCTGAATATGTGGCTTTGTGGCTTCTGTAAGACTTTGTGTGACTGAAAGCCATGAGCAGATTGGGTAAAATAGTTTAGGATTTTATGAAACGTAGTTCATGTTGAGGCCTGAAGAAGTTGATCTACAGTTTGTGAACTAAAATTCATCAAAACAGTTTGCCTCACACAGTTTCTTATTAAGCTGAGATGGTCTGGAAAGAGATTGGTGGCGTAAAATCGACGAAGATCTGTTGATTCAGCAGAGGCCAAGGGAGTGAGATAAACACTTAATTTCTAGAGGATAATGGAGACTGAGGGAAGGTTTGTCCTTTAGGTCTTTTGATCTGAGCCATAAGAGGAACTAATATGACCACTGGCCTCCTAGGTAGCAAATAAAATGGAAAAAAGTGCAGGAAATTCAACGAAAAAGTAAAGAATTAGACAGAAAGCTTTATTTCTGTAAATTTTGGAAGTAGAACAGAGTAAGCTATGTTTATTCTTTGGGCAAGAATATGTTTGTTCGTTAATTGTCTTTCACAGAGGGGGGACAACTTCAATAAGAAATCTAATGTTTATCATTGATAATAGTAACTCTCTAGGAATCCATGGGCTGTAACAAGCATTTTTTGAGATTGGCATAGATGATCTGTTGCGTGTTCAAAAAGATTTCATTAGCATTTATCTATTATCCCTGTGCTCCACTTACAATTGGGTGCCATAGATAGCTAGAATTTTGCTGTATTGATAGAGCCTAGATTTTGAAATAATAACTTAAAAAAAAGGGTTATTTCAATAACTCGTCATTGGATGTACCTGTGAAATTCAACAACAAAGCTTTGACACTGAATGACAGCCTTACACTGGAGAACAAATCGTATGCATAAATTTAAAATAATTAAGGCAAGAAATAATCACGTGCAGGGTGAAAGATTTCTGGTAGTTCAGGCAATCCAAGGCTTAATCTAATCTCTATGCTCAACTTAGGATTTTTATTTGATTGCTACAACATAAAAGTGAGCTTCCCTAAGGTATGAACCAAACCTTTCCTCACAAGACATATTTTTCTTAAGAAAAAAATTCTTTTTGCATCATATGTACAAGGGTTTATGGATCTTGGTGAAGGTTGAACATACCATTAATACTTTCAAACATATACGTTAGAGAGAATCTTGAAATCTTGAGGCTTGGGGCTCCATAGTTGCAATATTTTTCTCGATTTTTCTTACCATCAAAACTAATTTATAATTCTTTGGATTTCAATTTATTCAGTCAACTTCCGTTTCTACATTAAATTTCCTAAGTTAGAAGAATTGAGACTTATTTGTTGATTCCTGAAAACCATCGTTCATTGGACACTGTGTTTGCTTGGCTCTGCTTACTGGTATTACATGGGGTTCGTATTTTAATGTTCTAAAACTTTCATTAGTTGTCCTAAAACTCATCTTTGAAGTCAACAGAAAATAGTGTAAAATTTTCGAGTGTTTTCCTGTCAAAATAAAAGTTGTAGGTTTAATAGAATTTTATATCTAGAGCGAAAGGTATCGCCATTCAGGTTAGAGTCAAACTTAAGGTGAAAGAAAAGGACAAACAGATCGTTTAAAAACAGGCAAGTATATTTTACCAATTAAGAAATAAATGGTCGATTGTATAAATGAAGACGAGCCTTGAAATCCCGTTCAATCCCTAATCAAAACGAGACTTCATTGAAATTTTGTTGTACGAGATTGTATTGTCTTGATTAATGTTGTTTTCATTTCTACTCTGTCATGGTCTTTGTTTGATCAATTTTACGCTATCATCGATTTCAAAATCTTATTGATATAAATTCATATGATAATCCTGTCCGATTATCTCAACATGTCTCTTGCCTTTGTACAGGGTCCCCTAATCAATGAAGCTGCTGTTCAGAAGGTTATGTTCATTTCATAAATGACCTCAATCTGAATCAAACTTATGATAATGCTCAATATTGATGGCATCGCTTGATTTATTAAATGATATATGTTTCCACTTCGTTTTCATTTCCGAACTTATTATGAAATTCGTTCGTCTGGGGATTTTTAATGGGGCACTGATTCCGGAGAAAAGTGTATAGCTTCCTGAGCAAGCTCCGGCAGCCAAGAGATGTTACATATGCTTCTGAAATCCCAGGATTCGATACATCTCAACGAATTCGGAGCGGGAGAGAGAGATAGAGATGCTAACCTTGCAACGAGGAAGAAAGACAATGTCGATCCTTCTCTGACCTCACCGGCGAGTGTGGAACGAGAGCAGAGGAGTAGCTGCTGCGTCGAGGCCTATAAGAATTTGACGTATAGGCTAACCTTGCGATGAGGAAGACAGTGCTGATCCTTCTCCGACGTCGCAAGAGAGGAAGGAGAGAGACAGTGACAGAGTGAGAGAGAGAGAGAGCGAGAGAGAGAGTATTTCGAAATCTGATTCTGATTTTCTGACACCGATGTTGACGTAAGATTTTGATTCAATAACCTATTAATGGGCTTTCCTTTTCGGCCCAAGTTTATTGCGGGACCCACTTTCCGCAAAAAGCCTTCAACTATCTTCAAAGGAAATAATAAAAATAAATACATTATCTTAAATGGAATAAAATTATTTATTTTAAAAGATAATTAAGAATAAATATGGTCCTGCGGTTAGTATCGGACATGAAAATCGATCAATGGGCCTTCAATACGGCCCCTTTAGACCGAGCCCATGATTCGTGTCGGCTCAAAAGAAAAGCCATTTTTATGGGCTTTTTCTCTGGCTTCAGTACTGGGCTGAGCCATCTCTGTGGGCTTTCCCTTGAGAACGCCGGATGTGGCGGGCTTAGTAAGGCCCGGGCCCGGGCCCGGGCCCGGGCCTCCCCCGATAACCCCTTGCTTCACGCATTACTCGCATTACATTTATTTAATTTTATTTATGCCCACTGGTGACCGGTAACCAGGTGCTCCTTTGTACCTGCCGTGCTTCTCTCTCTCTCTCTCTCTCGTCCCTCTTCTTTCTCTCTCTCTTTCTCTATCTCTCTTCCCTCTTCTTTCTCTCTCTCTCTCTCTCTCTCTCTCTTCCCTCTTCTTTCTTTCTCTCTCTCTCTCTTCCTTCCCTCTACTTTCTCTCTCTTTCTCTCTCATGAAAGCAAGCTCGCCCGTCGTTGGACGATCGGCCGGTCGCGGGAGGGCCGAATGGAGGACGAGGCGCTGCAGCGGAGGCTCCCGACCTTCCGGGAGGGCGACTTCTCTTCTTCGGGGGCGCGCTCCCCCGCTACAACGGCGGCGGCATCTTCGTCATCTTCTTCGTCTTCGTCTTCGTCTTCCATCCTCCAATCGCTCCCTCTCCACGTGGTAGGCTTCTGCTCGTGAGCTTCTTTCATTTTTTCGGCGATTCCTTTTTCATGATGCAGCGTTGCTGATTTTTTCTTTGTCCTCGTGCTATGAAATTCAATCGTTTGGAATGTCCGGTGGAAATGGACTCCGGATAGTCGTTCGATCATGGATATTATCTTCTCGTGAAAGCCATCCAGGAGCTTCGGGAGAAGAAGAAGGGCCTGGTAGTCACCGTCGGCATCGGGGGACCGAGTGGGTCCGGCAAAACCAGGTAAACCGCCTTGAATGTTGTGTGTGATCCGTGAAACATTCGTTTCATTTATGTTGGAATGTCCGTTAAACTCTGTCTTACTTCTACTCGTCTTGGACGAAAGCTTGGCAGAGAAGGTCGCCTCCGTCCTTGGCTGTGTCATCATTTCCATGGACAACTATCGCATTGGTGTGGACGATGGGAATGACTTGGATTCTATAGATTTTGACGCCTTAGTCAAAAACCTGCAGGTTCAGTAACATTAAATGATTTTTATTACAATGCTGAGGTTATTGGGAAGAGACGTGTGGGGTAGCTCTTGTTTACCATGACTCACTTTTTCCAATCTACATCTGCTGTCGGAAGAGTAGGATTTGGTGAATGGTAGGGACACACTTACCCCAGTCTTTGATTTCCGAGAAAAGAGGCGTGTTGGCTCGTACCCAGTGAAGATACCACCATCTAGAGTGGTATGCTTTTTAAATCCAGTTCCAGTCCCTCGATATTATCTCTGTTTAATCATAAGATCCCCCAGTTCCATTATTTTCTCAGGTGATTGTCGATGGTGCATATGCCCTTCATTCATTACTTCGATCGTTGCTTGATATAAGGGTGGCAGTGGTGAGTTTCTTCAACTGCAAATAGATGCACTGCGTGCTGAGTTAAATTTTTATGTTTAGCTGGACATGATTTTGTGATTTCAGGTAGGCGGTGTGCACTTCAGTCTCCTTTCTAAAGTACAACATGACATTGGGGACTCATGCTCGCTTGATTTTCTCATTGACAGTATCTTTCCTTTGTTCAGGAAGCACATTGAGCCTGACCTTCATCATGCTCAGGTCAGTGTTCTCGTTTTCCACTTTCTACATTCTTTACTCATGACTGGCTTGTATAAATGATAGTTTTGATCAATGGATTTTGTCTATTTTGCACAGATCAGAATCAATAATAGCTTTGTCTCATCGTTCAGGGAGGCTTACTACAAATTAAAGTGCAAAAGTGAGGTTTGACCTCTTTCTGCTTAACTCTGCAGTTGTTTCTAATCATTCTTCTTAAAGCTTTCGCATACGTTTATTCTTTCGTTTCACTCTATGCATTTCTCTACATATGATTAGCTTCCTTTATTTCTGTTTTTTAATACTTGAAACATGAATACGGATATTTGGCTTGAAACTTTTTGTTCCTTAGTTGGTAAATATATAATATACCATCGTGAAAGGTTTTGGAAACAACTTCCTCATGTTCTGGCCTGTATGTTGATAGTCATAGTTTGAGTCATTATCTTCATATCTACATAGCTACATCTGGGATTCTGGGCTTCAGTATTTCCATCTATATTAATTAAGATAAATTATTACTCAATTTTTCATGTCTTTTCTCACTTCCTTCTAGAGCTCAACTCTGAAGGCCTGAACTGTAGTTTGCTCGTTTTACTGTCTTGTTCATTCTAGTTTGTTGTTCATCATGATATATTTCCTATATATGTTGATGCAAACATTTCCGCCGTCCACCGGATTTTATACTCTCATAGATTTGAATTTACTTCTTCTTTGTACCTTCTAGATGCAATTCTTATGCAGCCCTGAGATTTGTCTTATGGTTTAACTCTTTGTTATTGAACAGTCTCCAATTGGGCACGCTATTTTCTCTTCTTATGGAAGTGATGTTCGAACAGAGAAGTGAGTTCCTTTTCTGTTTCAAAGTGCGTAATAGCTTTTATTCATGAAATATCAAATGAAGGGGATGGATGTATGTGTAACTCTATCAAAAAATACCTAGTAATATAACTATGCACTACAATAATATGTTGTAGGTCACGTTAGTAACTCAATTTATGCACAATAACAGATTCTTATCCTTATTACAAAAATCTGGCCCTCACTTTTACCCTGGTCACATAGCAAATTAGAAAAACGCCTTTTCAGCCGAAACGTTTTGCCTTTAATAATTTTTCTAGTGAGCTAAAGTAAGTGCAATTTACAAAGAGTATTTAGAATGAGAATTGTGGTCATGGGTAAATAACATAAAATGCCAAGTTTTAAAATAGAAAAACACATGCTGCTTTATTTCATGTGTGCCTTAGGTCCTTCTATTGCCATTATTGTCTAGTGATGTATTTTCCCTGTTTTTCTTTACCTTCCAGTTTCATTGAGATGTACCTTAGGCCTCCTTTTGCCCTTGAAGAAGCAATGATAAATGATTGGATTAAGGTGCGACAGTGTGGCATCAGATACTATTTATCGCTGGGTGATCAAAGGATAGTTGACAAGAATTTTATCATTAGACCCAAAGCTGAATTTGAGGTCAGTGTTCACAGCAATTTAATGAGGCTTTGGCTTCTTACAGTCTGATCCTTCAATATACACGTCCTATCCCAGAGATTTTGTCTTGACTTTAAATGATTGATGAACATTATTTGGTTCATTCATGCATGATTTTCTGTCTTATGTCCTTTTTATTTTTTGTTACATGGTGTAAGTATAGAAGCATGATGAGTGAGAAAATAGATTTAGAGTGTTACATATCATACTGATTCTCTAAACCTTTACCAGTTGCATGTGTATCATACACGTGAGGTTTAGATGCAAAACATTATGTTGTATAGTGGCTTAGCCCTCGATCATGTTCAATCCTTGAGACTATCTTCGGCTTAGGTATAATATGATTTATGCAGTGTTTTGGCGCCATGCAATTGGCTGGAGTTAACATGTGCTTACTCCCACATGATGCTTGGCTGGTTCAACTGAGGCAAAAAAAATTCGAGTGGCGATAACGAAAAAATGCAAATACCCTCGTTCTAGTGAAGGGCTCAATACGTTTACATTATTTCACCTGATACAGTCAGGCTATGTTCTTAAAGAGTCTAGAATGTGATCCTTCAGTCCTTTAAAGAGGATTCTTCAAAATTTTCTGTTGTTGTTTTTCCAATCATTAAGTTGTGTAGGGTAGACGGTTGAAGAAAAGTGCGCATTGAACTCTTTCAGACAGGTGTATATATCCATATATATCTCATTTATATGAATGGAGAGTTGCTTCTTATTGGAAAAGTAATGATGTCTTTCATACGCTAGGTGTACAATGCCAATACTCAAGTCAAATAGAAAACAAGATTTGGTTAGCATTAGCATTGAGCAAGGAAAGTGGATTTCAAGATTTGTTGGTTGAAACTTTATGACCTTTTTACTCTATTTTGATGGATAGGAATATCAAGAGGGAAAATTCATTGATTTATTAGTCAGAAAGTGGATGAACATGTTTTTAGGGGGATGTATCCATGGTCTTCACCGTCCTGGTGTGGGACATGGCTGATGTACTGGACGTTTTTAAGAGCTTGTAAATTACAGTTTTTCATATTCTCTTGTTCTATTTAAGGATTATGTGGTGTTATTGACTTCTATAATCGGTATCATAATTAGGGACGGCTGACATATAATACATTTTAAGAGCCTTGATAGCACGTGTATAATTTCCTTTCATTAGTTAATGATTAAATGCTTGATGGTACTACCCACTTTAAAATGATAAAAAGATTTTGATAACCAATATTCTTTCTTTTACTAGTCACTAGTTTCCTTGTGGTCATCTTTCTTCTCCTTCTCTCTAGTTTTGGCAAAGGGAAAGGATTTGTAATCTGTCAAAGCCAAAGTATCTACCCTATATCAAATATTGTTTTTCTGTAAATGAATGTGAAGTACTTGGTCTCCCAGGTCATCTTTCTGCTTTTCATACCTATTCAGATGTTGCCCAACCTCCAGGTCTGTCTGTTGTATACTTCAATGCTTCATTACGTGAATGACCATGAGGTTGTCTTTTCCATTGACTCTGTTTTTTGTTATAAAGGGTAAGCACCTCTTATATTAACAAGTTTTATATCTGGGCCAACTTTGAATCTTCCGAATGTTATGTCTTGAAGTCAGTCTATTTGGAAAATGCACAGGTTCCTATTTACTGAATTTGAGGTGTTTTCGGACGACTAATGATTTAAGTCAATCCTAAGATCTCTCGGTTTCTCATTTCAGTGCAACAAAGATGTGCTACAAGTTAACGTCTATGTTCATTCACTGCCTTTTGGTCGTAAAATGTATCTTGCCTTAGTGTTTTATTTATCACCTTAACTTGTATGAATCCTAATATTTTTTCTCATCTTACAGTTGGGTCTCTTTAGAGCCCAAGAAGATCTTCCAAATAGGCGTTCTCAAAGTTATTGTCGTCTCCAGTTTTCTATTTTTGCCACAAATTTCGTTTGTTTGACTTGCAGTTTGTGTTTCTTTTGTTAGAGTATTTTATAAAGCAGGGCTGTGATATTTCCCTGAACTTTATGCTGTTTTTATTTCACATGAATTCTCAAGAATTTCTATTTTTATTATTGGTATTTTTTTCTTTTAACCATTCACATACCATTAATGATGAGTTAGTCAGATACTTGGAATAGTGAGTGTGTAATGTCCTAAATTTTCTTCTTCACCCAAAGTTCATCATTATAAGGATTTGTATGTTGCTTTTGCAGTTGATATAACTTAGATCATAGTAATTTTCCTTGTTGATACCTCTGTGTGAGTGCAGAATTATTTATTGAATAATTTTTATGAATTATTTAATGAATATTCATTTCTATCCGAAGAAAGTAAAGAGCCAAAAGTTTTTCAACGTGTTAAAACCCTCATTTTGTTTTGTCTATAAATCTCTGGTAACAGGTCGGACGGACAACTCTGGGTGGATTGCTTGCCTTGGGCTACACTGTTGTTGTTAGTTTCAAGAGAGCAGCTACAACAGTTAATAACGGCAAACTTTTAATGGCGCTAGAAAATGTAGATCTTCTTAGTGACACATTCCTAGTGCTGAAGGGTACGAGCAGAAAGGTAAAACTAATTTTCATCTAATTTTATATGGGTTATAACCGAAATTTGAAGTATACTGTGTTCCATCTCGTAGTTTTTCAACACAGTTTTTTTCTTGAAAGTCATCTGAATATTTCTTTGTTTTGGTACTCAGCTGTACCTTTGGTTGATTCCGTGATAAATCTTTTCCTTCTTTCGTTTATCATGAGTTGTCAGATTATTTTTCTTGTCAAAGAATGTACATCTTTCATTTCTTTTGGTCTGCTGTTTTCCTCACCAATGGCATCAGTTTGCCTTATCTCATTACTAGTAGAATGGAACTGAAAAAGAGACGTTCCGGCTGGGCCTATCTATACAGTCCATCATCATGAAACAAGGACTTCCAAATCAAATCTAAGTAGCCTAAAATAGCATCATACCCTGGTACCCAAAAGGAAATGGGGAATCGGCTTTCTACCTTTAGGGGAGCTCATTTTTTATGTGAAATAACTTTTTAAAGGGAAGGTAGGCGAAAAGACCGCAGCAGTGGAATTTTAATTCTTTAGTGAAGAAGGTATTTTATATCAGTAGGCCAGACAATACCGTAAGGAAAACAAGGGTCTTTCATAAACACTCTCTATCATGCCACTCTTTTTTCCATACTAATAGGCTGGCAGTAGTTAATTTGCTGAATGCTTATCTCTCTTCTTCATTTCCCGAAGTTGGTTGATTCTTTCCGAGGTTGTTATATCAAATTAGAATCCAGATTTAAGGAAGGCTATTTGAAACTGCAATGTGATCTTCGTTACGAAGTAGAGAACTACTTGGAAATAACTTGTCTGTTGAGGAACCTTGTGAGAACGCTGAAAATTTCCAAAGCAGAATATTAGAAGTGCAAAAATGGAAGATATGTTTCGTGAGGTAAACTTGAAATTGCATAGCAATGGCTTAAAAATCCCTGTTTCTCATTTCGAGCAATTTTCTTCAATCTGGATTACATTCAACACCTGTGGAACATTAGTTCGCTAATTTCAAAAGGGCATAATCCCATAAGAAACAGGAAGGAACATGGCTTTTAACAAAAATGATTTTAGAAGCTCTAGAAATCCAAGATGGAAGCTCTAAAAGCTGATGACCAAATAGCCACTTTTCATCATATGATCTTGCATTTAGTAGTCTAAAACGAATTTATAACTTTTTGCCTGCTCAAGCGTTGTTGGCAAGGAAGCAGAAAGCTATGGAATAATGGCTTTAAGAAGTTTACAAGGATGCTTTACCTCCAAGCTATGTAATGACTAGCTTGATTGTAAAATCAGAATTCAGAGATGTTTTTCTTTACTATCTGTACACATCTCCATAAAGATCATAATTCGTCTTTTGCCCTTGGAAGATAAGGTAATTAGATTGAAGTTTAATATGGATGAAAATAAATCTATGAGCCCAGTTAACTTTCCTCCATAATTCTTTCAAAACTTTCGGTACGGTGTGATGCTAGTCATTAGAAAGTTGTAAGGGAGGCCATTGTCTGTTTTAGATTTTAACTCCATGAACCTCGTTATCATTCCTAACAAGGAGCTGTTGATGTTATGTGCGAAATCATCTAAGTATGAGGACTTTAATAATCTTGGGGAGTGTTCCATTGTAGGTGCTGGAGTAGGTTTTATAAACATTACGAACTTTTGTTTCGTTTTCTTTTTTTGGGGTAAGGCCCGTCCAAGTCTTTCATTTCAAACGTGGGTCGGTCTTACTTGACAGGACAGCCAAGTCATGCTTTGAATGCGTCTTTAATGTTCTCCTTCCTTTTTTTTGTTCGTTCTTGATAATTCGCAGCCCATTGATTCATTCCCTTGCCTTCAATTTGAATTTGTTAATCCATCAAATTCAGGTCGTTGGAGAGGAAGCCGCTAGTCTGGGTGTCTTTGGCCCATGGATTACCAAGTCGTACCTAGAAATGATTCTCGAAAGCAAAGGTTTGTTGTTTATGCGGTTTTTTATTTTTCTTCAAATGGATTGCTTAAATGTTATCCCCCTGCCATTTGAATCACTTAGGAGTTCCACGAGTAAACACACCACCACCTTTGTCAAATGCAATACCAACTGACAGCCAAGAAAAAGTCATACCTCGACCAAGACCTATTTCTTTGGCTACGAATCTTGCCCAAAAGATGGAGGATCAGGGACAACCATGGACGCGCTCTCCAACGAAGGCTGATATGGAGCCTAATGCGCCTAAGTGGCAATTCATCCTTTCAGGTCATTCTCATATAGGCAATTCTTTAGTGCTTTCTCCTCCTGGTCAATTAATTTGCGTATTTGAATCTGAGGCTTCTTTGGTTCATACTAATTGTCTATCACATTATGATCTTTATCATTCCTGATTTTTCATCTAATCCGTTTAAGTACCTCTAAAAATTTGTTAGTTCTTAGTAAACAAGTTTTCTGGAAATGTTTGCAGATTCTTCTTCTCAAAGAACCATGCAATTGGCTCCTATGCGTGATTCGTATGGTCTGGATAGGGGTTTGCTTCTCTCTGTCCAAGGAGTTCAGGTTAATACCATGCAAATTAAGCAGGGATAATTTCCCTTTCGAATTAAATTGTTCAGTGAACTGATATTGCATGTTTACACCACTACATCTGGATTTCAGGCATTGCTTGAGAGCCAAGGGTTCCCTGTTATTGTTGGAATAGGTAATCTATTTTCACGTTTTATATTTTGGAATCTCTAAATTATTTTTTGCTTGATGTATAGAATGCCGAAGTAAAGGGCATATTACTTCGTTTCTAACTAGTAAATTGCCAAGATAAAAGGTTTTTGATTGAAATGTAAATTGATTCGCTTGAGATATCGGATTCAAATTTCAATCTATTCAATTAGGCAAGGCATTTTCTCAACTCCGAGTAGTAAGGTTTTCTTAGGCGCGTGCACCATATTTAGGTCTTCAGGTGATAAGCCCTGTGAAACAAGGGTTCTCTTCTCATATCAATGACAAACAAAGGTCTTGATGTTGTAGATGTAGATTATGAAATATCAGTTGTCAGTGGGTAGAGGACAATGGCTGGATGCTCTTTTTGAGAGTCCTATTTTTATTAATTGATGAATGTTTTGACAGTTGAGATGCATTGCTTTTAGTGAGAAAACTTTCTTTTGATAATGGATTCCAAGTATTCCATTGTATTGGAAATAAAAAATGGTTGTGATAGTAATCTACACCAAGGTGCTGCGGACTAATCAAAAGACCGAAGGAATTCCGCTTCAACACATTGAATTCTCAGTATCCATTGCTACGCTAACTGTAACAAATAAAATTATATTCATTTACCAGCTTTCATGTTTGAGTGAGCAATTTTTAATCTCCATGGCCCCATGGGTCACATGGAGAATGCTTCTCCCACTTTTTATTATTATTATTATTTCACTATTGACGAAGAACACCAGCAAAAGGTGGGAAAGAGATGGAACACTGGGAAAACTCCTACGGCACAAGAGAATTGTTGGATAGTAGGAGAAAGCCGGAAACACCAAGAGAACCTGTTGGATAGGAAGGAGGATCTCTCAACTCACATAATAGTGTCAGACCAGATATTTAAACCATATTTTCATATATCTAATAGATATGTTTCATGGCGATTCAAGATTGTTCAAAGGGCTATTTCCTGTACAATGTGTCTCCATTTCAATTTTCTTGTTATTCTTCTAAATATGTTTTTTCAGCAGCTCTCTTTCATTTTGTCGACTCTGGAGCAACTATTTTTGCAGTTGGTGCAAAAATTTTTTGCTCTCCACATTAATATTTTCTATATTTTATTGGACACAAATTTTCTGGATAAGGACGCAATTTAAATTTTTTTACACAATTCTTCAGGAGGTCCGAGCGGATCTGGGAAAACTAGTCTTGCACACAAAATGGCAAATATTGTTGGTTGTGAAGTTATTTCATTGGAAAACTATTACAAATCTGAGCAAGTAAAGGGCTTCAAATATGATGACTTCAGCTCTCTCGACTTACCTTTGCTATTTAAGGTACATATACCTGTGAGTTTCTTTTCTATCTGATTCTAAAAAAAGCTTCTATTATTTTAAAATCTTTAATCTTTGAAATGTGTTCTGTCAAAATATAAATTCAGGTTTCTATCCCTTGCGTCTGGCTGTGGTTCTTGTATCTCTTCCAAGTGCACACGCCACATTCCCTTATAAGCCTAGAATAAACGTAATAAAGTGTTTTGGGCATAGTTTTCAGTATAAAATTATGATATGTGAACGACTGGATGCGATTGTATCTTCTTATCTTTAATTTTATGATAGCCCTACGTTGCTTGCTATATAATTCTTACATAATAATTGTGACACAACATCTTGTTACATATAGTTAATTCAATACCTTAAATTTTTCTTGTATTGCTCGTTAATAGACTCAATTTTCAAGTGGGTTTTCATTAGTAAATGAGAAATCGTGATTTGCTAACTGACATACTATAATTAATAAACATGGGTCAAGAGTTGTCAGTAAAAAGAACCGAGATAATTATAGAGGCTTCATGCGATTATTAATTGGGATAACTGGGAAATTGGAATGCTCTATCGGGTTCCTTTTACCTAATAAAGCATGCCTTGTTCACTAATTAGTCCTGACCATGACAACTCTAGAGCTCTCTCATGACTGCTCCAGCCCCACTATGGTAAATTATGGTGGTGATATCCTTTTTACCTTGAAACTCTTGGTGGATTCTTGAATGAATCACCCTAGTTGGGAAAAAGGGAGGGTAATTAAGATGATGCTCCAGTCGACTCTCCCTCCTGAGGGACTTGTCTCCTGAGAGCTATTCCTCCTCTTCTGAGGGACTTATATTTTTATAAGCATGGTACAAGCTTCAGTCCTGAATGGGATATGAGAAGTAGAGGCATTTCAAGTGCTGCTGCACTAGTTGTTCTCGCTGCTGTCTCATTTCTCTCTTCATCAAGCTTAGAGGTACCTATGAACCCGAAACCCCTGTTCCTGCATCCCTTTTGTGATCTAAGAAATCTATAGATATCCCAGTGGGGATCCACTTCCTTCTTCCCTTGTTCACAGCACCCCTTGTTGTGTATCTTCCTCTCACTTTACAAAATCATTACGTGAGTTAGCTCCTTGGTTTCTGATACTCTGAAATTGGTGTCATTGTTTCTCGAATTATTTCTAATAACTCTCTTGTTCCAGTTGTCATTCAAATTCTTATAGTATACTTAACTGAATAAACGATTCTAGTTTTCTCATATTGTATCCCCTCTGTGAGTTTCTTGTGGGATGCCCTTTCATCTTTGTTGCCAGCTTCTATTATGTACTGCCATGGTATATATATACATACGTAGTGTCTTAACTTCAAATGCCTTCTTGCGTTTTATGTTCTTGCAGAATATTGATGATATAAGGCACTGCCGGAAAACAAAGATTCCCTGTTTCGATTTTGAGAAATGCAGCCGGGTTGGATTCAAGGAACTTGAGGTTTCTGAAGATTGTGGAGTGGTATGAATTATAGTGAAACTACTATGTAGTTTTTTTCTCGTGAAAGTTCTATCTAACCTGTACTAATGTTTCCAGCAGCATGAATACAACTTTTAACTTCTACTAAATAATCGCATACCTTGGTGGCAGCCATTAAGTTATTGTTTTCCTCTGTCTGTCTTGTTTATATATTTTTTGGATTTATTTAGTGATTATTATCTATGATTTTCAAAGATGTAATGAAGTTATTCTAACCTGTTTTTGTTATGATTGTTCTCGTTTCTTGATGTCCACATGATTTCGATAGGTTTATTTATTAATTATTCCTTTAAGAGAATGCCTTGTATAAAGAAGATTATATTGGATATCCATCTTAATCTCTTTTCTTATATATTCGGGGGGAGAGTTTTTTTTCGGATTACTTACTAATTTTTTTTTATGTTCCCAGGAATTCTTTTATTTTGCATGTTTGTACTGCTGGATCATCATGCATAGACATTGTATAGAGTACCTTTTTACTGCTCTGTAAAGTTCATTAGAGTATTATGTGGGAATTTGACTCATCAATATTTTTTGAAATTCTAGCCCATGTTCATCTGGTTTCGAATATCACCAATTTGCATTCAGGGCAAGCTATGGGATTCGGTTTCAATTTTGGTGGTCCAAGGACCTTGCAGGAAAGCCATAAAGTGGGCATATGGAGGACTTTGGTTATTTCACAAGACAAAATCTGAATTCGAATTCGATGCTGCTTTTTGCCTCCTATATGTACCAATGTGAGCTTATTTCCTCAAAAACAAGTTTCCATCCTTTCCAGGTCATCTTTGAAGGAGTGTACGCATTGCATCCAGATATACGGGAATCAATTGACCTGTGGATTGCTGTTGTAAGGCTCAAAAACCTTCCTTTTTCTTAGTAAACAGTCTTTTTACTCTGCTTTTATCTTCAAAAGTTACGTCCAACATTGAAGTGTTATTTGGGAATTATGTAGGTGGGTGGTGTCCATTCACATCTTATTTCAAGAGTACAGAATGACAAGAGAAATTCAGGGTGCTTAATTTCTCAGAACGAGATCATGACAACAGTATTTCCAATATTCCAGCAGCATATTGAACCACATCTTGTTCATGCACATGTTGGTACATGATTTTTTTCCGCCATTTATGTCGAAGTTTATTACTGCATAGAAAACATTTCCAAGTGTGTAACTGACATCACGCCGCTTCTCTGATTAGTGCAACATCAGTTTGGTTCTCTGATCTCCATAATTGAACCTTTTCTCTACCTGTTACAGTTGAAAATACGAAATGACTTTGATCCTGTTCTCTCTCCAGAAAGTTCTTTATTTGTTCTCAAAAGTAACAAGCAGGTAAACTGGTGAGATAGATTCTTGATCTTGATGTTTTGTATGGATAGTTTTATCATTTTGTTGTTTCTTTTGAGGAATTAGGTGGTGCTCCAAGATATCCTTAAGGTGCTTGACTCTGGGAAAGTTTGCAGCTCAGTTCAAAACTTTACTGACATATATTTGAAGCTGCCGGGAACACGTTCAAATGGGAAACTGACAGAAAGTGATTGCATAAGAGTTCGAATATGTGAGGGAAGGTTTGCACTTTTGATTCGTGAGGTGATCCCCTATTTTCGTCTTAGATGTCCTAGTTGTGATGTCTCTTGTACGTTGAGTGATATGCTTGTTAATGGAGCTTTTTTTTTTTTTAATTCTCTTATTGCATCAGCCCATTAGGGAAGGTAACTTTATTGTCCAGCCAAAAGTTGATTTTGATATAAGTATCAGCACCGTTTCAGGGCTTCTCAATATTGGGTAAGCATACGTAATTTGGATTTCCAGATTTCTATACATGCATATTCTGTCATGACAACAGGTTGCTAGTTTTTATCCCATGGAATTCCATATGTATTGTACTCGTACTTAATATTTTGGTCTTGGAATGGTGATATCTATTCGAATTGGTAGATTCTTCCTTCTATGGGTGATTGTTTCTGCATCCTGAAACCGACACTGGCGGTGCTTTCCTCTGCAATGATTTTCCTGGAAGATTTTAGTTCTCTGTACTCTCCGTCTTTTATGTGGCATTTTATAAATGGTGACAGTGATTTGAAGCACTTGTCATTTTAGGGTGAAGGGGTGTTATCTTGTAAACATTTTACGACTGTATTATCATATATCTCCTTGTGATTACAGGAGATCATAAACCCATGATAAAATATTTAATGGGAAAATGAAGGAATAGCAGACTAAAGCACTTTAACCTGGATGGATGTGCTTATCAGAGTCTATTTCGTGAAATCACTCTTTGAAAACATTGTATGGTCAATTGGAATCGTTATGAACCGCCGTCACGTCACTACTTTTATGCTAACCCTCTCTTCTATTCTATTTTATGTGAACGAGTGACCATATCTTTGATTTATCATATTTTGAACAAGGTTAGTTTACGTGAACACTTCTTACACCTAAGCTACTCTTCAGTAGTTGTAAGCTGATTTTTGAAATCCAAACTAATTTTGATTGTAACTAATCACGGCCTATTTTAGGTCATAATTAGGTGTTCTCAGCTGAAAAGGAGTATATTGCACAGAGAGGGTATTTTCAAACCGTGCTTATTGCCATACATGCGTATTCTTTCTTCTGAGTCCTAACATCACTAGGTGACTAGTGGGGGCATCAGATGTCCTCTACATGAAAGCCTTTTTCTATGACTGCTACTGGCGTCAATTTCTTTTCTAAAAAAATGGTGTCAGTGATACTTTCGTCATTTGATAGCGCCGCTGTAAACTTCTAGAGTAATCCATTATTCCCCTTTCCTGATTTTGACAACTTTTTTCTTCCCTACTATGCACCAAACTATATTGTGTTTATTCCATGGCTGCAATGCAAACTTAAATTATATAAAAAGATATAATTAGTGTATTCCTAAGATATCCTCTCTTTCTCTCTCTCCTCATCTAACACTGATCTTCGCTCCGTACATATATATAGCATATTCTCATCCATAATGACTACAAGCTTTCCATCTAAAATTACTAGTCTTTTCTATTTCTTTCCCTTTTCAGTGATGAGTTGTAATTTGGTCTTAATTAATAAACAATTTCTTCCATTGGTTGTTGTTTATGGCAGCATTATTCTAACTCTCGCCATTCATATGTTTATATACTGTAGTATAATCACGTTCATGTCTTCTATTGACGTACCAGATATCAGGCTGTCGCATGCATTGAAGCCTCTGCACTAATTTATCAAGACGGAAAGGTTTCTTCTGAACTTTCTTTCTTGAAAGTTGTCTTCGACACTGCTAGAATTCATGATGGGGCTAGATTTGAAACCCTGACATAGGGTGAATTTTTCGGTGATAGTCACCTTTTAGCAATAAAAATGTGCTATATATCTACCACTAGACTATATGTCTAATGGTCTTCTCTGCTGAATTTGTTTCATCTCTCAGATTCTTGTTGAAGTTGATCATTTAGAAGCTACGTCCGTACCCTACCTTCAAATCAAAGGAACCAACAAAGATATAGTCGCAGCTGCTGCATCAACATTAAGCTTAGATGGTTCCTACACAACAAAGGTTCGTCTCTGACACGCTATATTTTTTAGTTTCCTGCTTTCTTCTTAGACATGAACACGTTAGTGAATGCAGAACGTCAAGAACTTTAAAGAGTCTCCTCACTTCTAAACCTGTCTTAGAGGTGTTTTCCTTTAATTATTTGGTGTGATTGTTAAGAATTACGCATCATTCATTAAATTTTACAGACTTACCTTGAGATCATTCTCGAAAGTTTGCCACCTCTGGAAAGAAGTTATTCTGGCATTCAGAATCGTCAAGCTGCGCGACTCCAGGAGCTAGTGGAGTTCATCCTAGCCCAGGTCTGTTGTGCTATTTATCAGTTTTCTATAGACTGTCATCTCCAACATATTGGTCAGAATTTGTTTATTGCTTTAATGTCATCCTCATTTTCAGGAAATAAGTAGAAAAAATATAAACCCCGTGCTTTGTCTTTTTTCTCTAATATATGAACCACTACTAAAACAAGCTTATCCATGAATATTGTTCTATTTTGGTTCATCTTCATTCTATTCATTTAGCATGCGAAATATAGATAGTGGTCAGTAGATTGGCTAATTTTCTTACTTAAACTGGACATTTGTTTGCCTATAACTAATCCATGGCATGTGGAAATCCTCAGCATTTCTGTTTTTTTTTTTTTCTCTTTCCGAAGATCAAGGAGAACGATTCCACACAAAAAGTTTTTTTACCAACGGTTCTGTAACATGGATAATGGACTAGAATCATGAAGCCCCATTTAAATCTGCATCATCAACCAAAACAGATGGAGATGCAACATTGAATCGGACTGATCCACCTCATAAAAGCTCGTCCCATGTCTCCATCTTCTAGGCCTTGTTCGTCACAATATCAAGTCTTATATCAGTCTTATATTTTCCAGAGTTTTTCAGAATCAGTGAAAGAAAAAAAGGGAAAATCAAAGTCAAAACAGTTGACTTCATCTCATCGGCGGCAGATGATCTTGAGCGCTCCCTATCTTCCTCTTCTTATAGCATGGGACAATTAGGTCATCTAGTAATCATCCTACTATTAGAACATATTGGCATAGAACTCATTCATTTTGCTTCTCAATGCCCCCTCTTCTTGAGTTTATTGATAAAATCAGGAAAGAATCTCATAATATATGCCAACGTTATAAAAATGGTTCATAGGAAGTCAACTAGGATCAGATCAAACCAGATCTGCTGTGGACCAGAATCTGGTTCCTATTCCCCTCTGGTCAATTCCCGGATTCCATTCCTTCTTCTCCGGGCAAAAACCAGCTAATAAAATATATGTAGGTTTTGGCGTTCATCTTCCTGGGTCACCATGATTTTGAGGAAGCCAACGAGGAAAATGTGATTTGAACATTAAATGATTATCTTTAATGATGCCATCTTCTTTCGCTTATTTTTTTCCTGTTTATGCTAATTATAGTAAAAAAATAAAATCTGAAGACCTAAAGAGGATAGTTTTCTGGATTATAAATCGGGCATAATGACACATAATCAGAGATCTCCATATGATTGCAGGTGGGAAGTTCTGGCTCAGAATCTCCTCCAAGCAGGGAGGTCTCATCGGTTGATGGCTCGATCGAAGAAATACATCTGAGGTTAAAACATCTTGAGAGATGGCAGGCCATCAACATGGTAAGCCCTCATCTTTCTAGATTAAGCAAAATCTTTTCATCCTTTTTTGGAATCGTCAGCCCACCCAAGTCGGAATCAATTATCCAAAAACAACCATTGAATATTCATAACCATATCAGGCTATCCAACACAGACCGCATCACCAATGATCATAGGTTGACTTCTATGGAAAAACCAGCTTTATTGTGAGAATATTGTTGAATATTTTTCTATTTCAGGTTTTGTGGACGATTCTGATGTCCACAATCATTGGTTATTCACTCTATAAAAGGAAGCAACACTAAGATGCCGGCTAATCACCTCAACTATGTTCCCATTCAAGTGGTATGGATGCTGTCACCGCTCATATCTCCTTGCTTTTTCTAGATGTGATTACCTTTCTCATAATTCCTTTTTATGGATTCGTTCTTTACCATAAATGGAACCCACCCGTTTATTTTAATTTACAATATTTAACAGGAATCCAATAATTTTATCAGAGGATTGAAGACATTTTTTTATCATGAATTGAATAATATACCTATACATTTTAATTTTATGATAAAAATTATCTTATTCTATATAAGATTTGGTTTTACACCACAAATGGGAAATCTGGCACCTGATTCAGAATACCAGCATATCATATGCTCATACACTCCATGAATGAGAATTAATTTCCCTGTCAACATATGATACCATTCAAAAAAAAAAAAACTGTCAAACTTTTGCATATTCTTGATTATTTCTTCATTATTGCGAATTATATGTTAAATGTTTTCAGTATTTTTTTTTCTTCTCTTGGCTTTTGGTCTACTCTTGACCCTCCCCCCATCAACAGATGAACTTAACTTCTTCATTATCTCGGAGGGATTTGTTAATGAGCCAAGTGGGCCCAAGCCCAGCACGCCACAATCAACGTTGGAGAGGCCCATTTGACTTGCCATGTGGTAGTCACAAAAAATCCACATGGATGCATGGGGTCTTGGTTCCGGGCAAGTTGGGACTGGCTTTCTAAGCTTGTCCTCGGCCCAGCCCAGCCCGACCCATTGACTCCCTTGGTGACGACTTCGGTTGTAAACGATTAATGTAATATTATTTGAGAAAAAAACATTTTCTTTATATTTTATTGGGCTTTATTTTGTCTTGCAGTCCATTGAATAAATCATGGGTCGTGTAGGAGCAAGACGCCTTTCTTTCTAGAGGGATTATTCAGATTTTTGCCTTTGTTTAATTAAAATTCTACATATTATTAAAATAAAATAATTTTTATAAATAAACTCACCACATATATATTTATAACGCCTACATGTTCAGGAAATCTGAACTCTGCATAGTCTTTTTTTGAAAGAGAGAGAGAGAGAGAGAGAGAGAGATGGCTTTCTTTCTAGAGTGGTGACATTTGGATATTTGCCTTAATTTAATTAAAAGTTTATGCCTTATTAAAAATAAATTAATTTATATAAATGAACTTACCATAAATATATTTAGAAAGCCTATGAGTGTTTTGAAAAGTCTTAACTCCATCCAGTCTTTACTTATTAGAGAGAGAGAGAGAGAGGCATAGGAAGAGATAGAAAGAGAGGAAGAGAGGGAGAGAGATGGGTGGAATTTGGATTTTTGCCTCAATTAAATTAAAAAAATTGCCTTATTAAAATATATTAATTTATATAAAAGAATTAAACCTGCATTAATTTAGAAAGCCTATGCCGAGCTCCACCCAATCATTTTTATGAGAGATAAAGAGGGATGGTGATGTGGGACAAAAAGGTAAAGAGAGATCTTTTTAAAGAATAATTCACATTGGGCTTTTAAGATTGAGTTTGGTAGAAACTATGAGGGGTTTAATATTTGAAAATATCTCATAATTTAGAGAAATTTTAGGATTATTAATTACCTACTGAAAATATCTATTTTAAAGAATCAGACAAAGCTTTTCAACTAAGGCTTAGATCACTAGTTTCTCACAAAAAGGTGGCTATCTTATGATATTTACAAGTTTTAAGAGTAAGGATTCAAATTTAATGACTAACTCTATAAAAAATTGAAAATCAACACATCTTTGCAATAGAGATTCTTGAGTTTTGAAGATTCTACGAGCTTTGATATAAATTTCTCAACTAGGAAAATGATGTAAGTCAATGACAAACACTATATGGTTTTCCAAGAATGATCCAAAAATGTTCATTTTTACGATTAATTTAGAGAGATAAAATAGAGAGACCAGAAGACGAAGACCCTATGTCAAACGCATCATCCATACATAATGAATTGGTATGGTATATTCATACCATAACATATGAACATTAAGATTTACAAAGAGGAGGAAGAGAGTGAAGGAGGAGAAATGAGATTCTCTTGTTCCAAAGCGAAAAAAGAGGAAGAAAAAAGTCCCCTTAATCCAAGAGGTAAGAATAAGAAGAAAATAAACCCCTAATCTAAGAGGTGAGAGAGATAACAAGCACTTTCTTGATTCCAAATTCAAGAAAATAATCTATTATAGCACTTGAGGGGTGACAAAGCTTGAAGAGAAGTTAGTTACAAATGAGAGATAGAAGGATAGAGAAAAGGTGACTAGAGTCACCCCTTCTCAATAGTGGTTAGAGTCACCCTTCTCAAGAGTGATTAGAGGCACCCCTTCTCAAAGGTGGTTAGAGGCACCATTTCCAAAGGATGACATGTGGCATCTCATTAAGAGAGGAGGGGACACATTGAGATGACGTGGCTTCTTCTCCATCCTCCTTTTCCTCCTCATGGACTTGCTTATGGAGATGAATCCTCTTATTGCCTTAAATGGCCCTCTTGGATATGAATCCAATATTCTATGTGGGATCCATTAAAGGTGGAAGTTGTTGGTTGACTTGAGTGAAGTTGATCTGTTGATGAGGCCAGACTCTAATTCTTACAGTACTCTTGGGAAAAGTTGACCTTGAAAGAGGTGGAGGTGATCCTTGTTGACTCATTTGACTAGCTTAGGGTTAACTCTCATTGACCTGGGTGGATAAGGCATTGATTGATCTGTTGACTTCATCAGATATAGAGAGACGCTTTTCTTTGCCTTAGTTTAACTAAAATTTCGCTAATATTTTTAAAACCCTACTTGTTCATGAATTCTCAACTCCAATTTAGTATGAGTGAGTGATATTTGACCCAGTTTACTCCACATGATATTCGAAATTAAAAGGAGAAAATCTCAACTCCTCACATGAGTGAGAGAGAGAGAGAGAGAGAGAGAGAGAGAGAGAGAGAGAGAAGAAGAGAGAGGGGGGGAACTGTTTACTCCACATGATATTCAAAATTAGAAGGAAAATCTCAGCTCCACCCAGTTTTTTTATTAGAGGGAGAGAGAGAGAGAGAGAGAGAGAGAGGAGGGGGGAACTGTTTACTCCACATAATATTGAAAATTAGAAGGTAAAAATCTCAACTCTACCTAGTTTTTTTTTAAGAGAGAGAGTGGGGGGGGGGGGACTGTTTACTCCACATGATATTCAAAATTAGAAGGCAAAAATCTAAACTCTACCCAGTTTTTGTACGAGAGAGAGAGAGAGAGAGAGGGGAACTGTTTGATACTCAAAATTAGAAAGTAAAATTTTATTAGCAGTTAATGTTACAGTTGGCGCCGAGAGGGAGTGGTTCATTTATGAATGTTTGCGGTTGGCACGAAAAACCGCAGGTCGGCTTCTGCTCTCTCTCTGCCCCACACCCCCTTCCCCTCCTTCCCCGGCGATGGAAGGGACAAAGCGGAAGAAGGGTTTTCTCCGCGAGGAGGACGTGCTCCTACTCCTGAACAAGTACAGTATTCTCTGCGTGTCTTCCTCTAGTCCACTCCAACCCTTGCATTCCCCATTTCTTCAAAAAACTGGAGGGCCTCCGTAGGGGTGGGTTCATTTCTGTTCTGTTGACCACGGGCTTGAAGTAGAAGAACAGCGTGCCCTTTTTCTTTGGTACTGGGAAGATTATTTGTGTTATTGTGGTTTCGTTGGAAAGGATGGGGGAGGTTGCTGGAAGGGCGAGAGTTTCCTGCTCAAATTATTTTCTCTTGATTAGCCTCCGTACTGGGAGGGAGCGTTGATGTTGGGCTTGAATACTTTCTTATTCGTCGCGGTAGTTGTATGGTTAGGGGTCTGATGCGGCTTCGTGAGGCTATTGTGATATCGGGGTCCCTTTCCACCCCAGGAGATGTGACTTGTATCTGATGTTGCGCTATTGTGCCAAGGGTGTTAGATGCCATGTTAACGGATGTTGACGATGTGACAGTAGTAACTATATAACGGAGAGGCCGGAAGATTTTCGTTACATGCAATACCTTTGCTCGTCTCTTGCATATCAACGGAACCTTTCCCTGTATATTTTGAGGAGAGAATCCTCCAGTAGTGGTGACTTCCACCATTTTTGAAAGGTGATAGATAGGGCTACTGTACTGGAAAGAGTCCAGGACTGTGCTCTTTGTTTTGTGGTTTTTTTTTTTTTAAGTGGGAGGTGAATTATTGACATAACCTCTGCCACATTTCGAGAAGCTATAGAGATTTAAAAAGGGTCAATATGAGCATTCTGACATTATACACGTTGGAAAAATGGATGCGACACATGCAATTCTTTTCGAAATTATACTTAGATGGAAACCACTTTGGAAAAATGGTTGGCATATCTTGGCTTTGCTCACAGCAGTAGAAATCTTCCGTGCCAAGTTTCTTTGTTTCGTTATTATCCGAAATAAAATATCCTTTTTCGATATCTTTGGATTTTTCCCTAAATAATTTAAAGATCTGGGTTCCATACCCGAGAGAACTGAAAGTTGATAAAATAAGCTTTGCTGATGACAGTTCTACTCCTGTCACCAGAAAGGCCTTGACGACGTTAATTGTGGTGTATATTACTTCTCGTTAGTATATTACAAGTCCTGTGGTTTTCTTAAAAAAAAGTTGTAGGTGGATATAGCTCTCGTTTACTTCCTCCTTTCTAGCACATCAGTGTATGTTGAAACTTCTAGGCGCTCAATACAAAAGAATACGACTGCTACAGCTATAATGTCCAGCTTTCCTGGATAAAGTGTGTAAGCAGCCATTGGTTCCATTTGAGAAACTTACCCAGGAAGCTGAAATATAAGCAAATCATACTTTGACCGAATACATGAGGAAATTAACCGTAAGCCGTCACTGGGAAAATTGTGGTACAGAGATCATTTTTTCTTGCTATTTATTATCCTTCGGTAAAAATCCCTCTGGAAAGTCGAAGTCCTTCCCAGTCACTTTACCTTGCGAACTTTGATGTTAGAAGATCCGTATGACTAGACACATGTAAAACTTAGAGGTGAGTATGCTAACAATCATACCACGAAGTCCCTACCTTATTTATCGCTATCTGAATTTTGGAGGAGAGATTTGTTTTTCTGCAGAACAGAGCTTCTATTTGGATTTGGAACCTAAGAAATAGAAAGATTCATGCGTACTGTAGACATTTAGTAGTTGGGGTTCTATCAATTGTACTGTCAAGTCTGTCTTTATCAATAATTCTTTCCTTTTAAATCCTGAGGTAAATATTCAGATTTAGTCCTGCCTGAGGTTAATGTGATGGAACCCAATTATTCTATTGCCTTGGATTTTTTAAGTTAATGAACACAATTGTAATTAAGAATCCTCTTTTAGAGAATGTTCCCAGTTTCGTTGAAGGTTTTGAAAAATTTGATTAATGATGTATTAGAGCACAAAAGTCAATATTTGACAGTCAACCTTGATGCTTTACTAGATTTCGGCATTTCTTTCTTCGAGTTATGACTCTTGTACGCGTGATAAAAAGTATAATTAAAATATATCATTTAATTGCAGCCTCAGTTGTCATCTCTGTCCCGTGTCTTGTCCTTGCCAGAGTTGAAAAGTTTTAACTCTATGACTTTATATATTGGATTGATTTCGAGCCTTTTTTTTTCCTTCCATTCTGCAAAACGGAACTCTAATTTTTAAGATAACGGTATATCCATGTGTAGCCCACATTTTTTTCACTTTGCCGTAATTCACGTGCACTTAGCTGTTGGATTTCGAAAGAAACAGTTATATATATGGTTGCACCTATAGCCAGCTGGAAATGAATTAATTTTCTTCAGGATTCGTGTTGTATTTTGACAGGTACTCACCCACAACAATTCTTAATCTTCTCAAAGAAGTTGCTCAGAGTGCTAGCCCAAAACTTGAGTGGGATACACTTGTGAAGGATAGTAATACAGGAATTTCTAGTGCAAGAGAGTATCAGATGCTATGGCGATATCTTGCATATCAAAGTCCATTGCTGGAAAAGTTGGAGGCTGGTGCAGAACCATTGGTATGTTTTTTCATCAGGTACCTGCTTATTATAGCTTGTGAATTTGATACCTTCGAACAATAATGATAATAAAACGAAGTCTGTCTATATGAACTTCATGTAAATATTTCCAAAGTCACATAATCCAAGATGCTATTTACGCATGAATCTTTTATTTGTAATGTCCATCGCCTCCAGTTCTTCTATCAGGGAATAGTAATTAGCTGAAGATGCCTTTCAGTGTTGGACATTCCAGAGTGGCTTCCTGTCCTTGACCAACACATGTGATGCTCCAACCCCCACCTCTGCCAGGCACAATGGACTTGGCTTCTTGGGTGTGCGAGGTCCCCTGTTAATGTTTAATTGTATGAATGTTTTTTTTCATAAAAATAGTTATTTATGCTTTTAGAACTCTAGCTACAACTTTTCTCATTTCTTAATTAGTTGAACTCCTCCAATCAATCAGCTGATCCAATCCTGGCCACCATGGTTGCACTAGTGTGTTTTTGGTACTTATTTTCTATTATCTCATGTGGTTTCTGTTTTTCTCAACTCTACATTCCTTGAGTCTGGTAAATTGTTATAGAGATTCTGCATATTTCCTTTTCTTTGCTGAATGCCCATAGCCATGACCTACAATGTGAAATTGAAATATCATTTAGTTCTCCACAAGAGAATCAGATGTGACCACCCGATTCAGTCTTGGCTTTCATGATTGCATTCTAGTTCTCTAGTGGTTTTTTTTTTGGCTTTTATGCTCATTTCTGTCTCAAGATTCGGTTACATTCTTATTTGACACATATGACTCATCATGTGTGTTTTAACATCTTCGTTTATGAGAAGCTAATTTTCTCCGCCAAAATGTGACAAATTTGAATTTTGAATGTGTTTCAGATTCATAACCATACTTCATCTGAGTAGATAATCCAGTCTTTGGTACCATGATAGTCTGTGTTTTGTGTTTTTTGGTTTTCATAGGCATTCTTTGCCCTCAAGGTTTGTTATATTTTGCTTTTACTTCTATGATTGCTCAGGTATGTTTCTTTTCTTCAGCTACTGAAAAGTTATGATGTATATTGTATATTTTTCTTTTAAATTGCAAGCCCCAACAGCTCGGGAACTTTTAAAATGAAGTTTGAAACATGAGTTTCAAAAACTTGAGATATCAGAAAAATGCAATATCGTCTTTGTATACTGATGGATATTTTTTTCATGGATTAGATTATCTATTTACTGTAAGTTTTACGTCTGACTGTGCTTTCAGGATGATGATAGTGACTTGGATTTTGAATTGGAGGCTCTTCCTACTGTTACTGGTGAGACTTTGGCAGAGGCAGCGGCCTGTGTGAAGGTAAGATATGTAATGCCGTTTTCTTTTAATTCAGTAGGTTAATCCACGCTGGTTTTCCCAATTGCATGACTCAAATTATTCTAACAATCCTTGAGCTTTGATATTATATCTCTTTTGTTTTGGTACGATGATAGTTTTCCCTAATTGTTCCGTGAGGACAATGAACTCTTCAGGTGAGAACATTGATGCAAAGTCGAAGATGATGGTAGGTTTAGAGCTGATCCATTTCTTTAGTGATCTCAACCATAGAATACAGAAGTTGGTTGATCCATAGTCCCATAAAAAGTGGGATTTGGTACTTGAACTAGACAGTCTAGCTGTGGATAGCTAGTTAGAAAAATCATTTGAGAAGATGGAAGAATTCTACATGGGGATGATTTATCTGCCTATTAGGTTTAATGGTTCCAGTTCAGACCAGCTGACTGATGGTTTATGATTCTAAGTCCATTTAGAATAACACACCTCAAAGGAATGTCAGTGAGCTTTCTGTCCTCCAACATTGCAGCCATTTTATAATTTCTACTGTCGTCTCCAATGGTTTCTTTGAGTACTTTGCTTTAAGGTCAGTTCACAGAAAAGCACTGATGATGATTTTTTGTTGCTACTGTTATTTGTTGCTTATGCTTGAAGAGCCTTTCATCTCAGACTGGTGATGGACTTAACTTCATAAAATGTTTTTCTGGGCAGACCCTGATCTCATCAGGCTTGCCGCATGAACTTGCCCCAAATCGCCCAACTGCTGAGGCTCCTTTGTCTACGAACACATCTAACGGGCAGGCATCGTATACTTTGTCTGATAACAAACTCACACGATATAATCGTGGAGGTAACACCATGATGTTATCTGCTCACAGGCAACTGCAGACAGCTGCGCAATCAACAGAAATGGTGGATGGGAATGGAACTGTAGGTGCAACTGGACCTGCGAAAAAGAAAAGAAAATTATGGACGAAAGAGGAGGATTTGGAGCTTATCGCTGCTGTGGACAAGTGTGGCGAAGGGAACTGGGCAAATATTCTGAAAGGAGACTTTAAGCATGACAGAACCGCTTCACAGCTGTCTCAGGTTATCTAAACTGAAGTCTAGTTTTTTTTGTTGTTGTGAAAAGTAGATGTATAACCGCATGAACATCTTACTAATTTTATTTCCTACGTTTGACTTATTACGTTTACTTTGTTTGTAGTTGACAAATTGATGATCTCTCTTTCCCTTTTAGTACTTTATCATGCTCTGTGGGAAACTTTGCATCCATTATACTAGTTTATTGTCTATCTTGATTGAGGGATAAGCAGGACCGCCTCACTTATTCACTATGATTTACCTGGGCATGGGAATGGCTATTGGATCCAAAAGAAGCAGACTGTAATCATATTTGTGTTTCTAACATTATAGGTGCGTTTCTTCCCAAGCTCACCATTGTTTTTCCTCAGACTACTTGCCTTCAGATAGTTCGTGTCTGGCAAGTGGTAAGACCGATAAAATTCATCTCTGAACTTCTGAATTAAGTTTCCACAAAAACCTGCCTAGGTCTTCTCTTCATAGTTGAATCCCAGATTCAGGTGAATCTCTTCAACCAGATTTAGGCTTGATGATTCTTTGGTGTTCTTCTTGATTCAAGGCCATTCGATCTTAATGGTGGAGATGAATGCGTGCGAAGCATATTATTTCTGCCATTTAACCAATCTGAAAATTTTATTTACAGCTATTTCTGATGGCCTATGCAGGTCCATGTTTCAAACAAGCTCATAGGACATATTCCTATCTTCCTTTCCTTTTACATGTACCATGCCACTTGTCATCTCATTCTAGCTATCCATCTGTTTAAATCAGTTTCCCTCATCTAATTCATTTATAAATGAATCTTTGTAAACCATTTTCGGTTCTGGTTCTTTTTTTTTTTAAACAAGATCATGCGATATATTCCCATGTTCTGGGTCTTTGGCATCCACCATGGCCCTCATCATCTCATTCTACCTATCATTGCTTTTTGCATCTATGCTATTAGAATATATTCTCACCAGCCCTAGCTTCCTCAGATTCAGCTCTAATTGCCCCGATTGCCATCATTTTTACATTAAACATTTCTATAAAAAGATAACCCACGTGCTTCCCAATCATTAGGTACATAAAAATTCCATGTTGAAATACAAACTTAACTACCTTTTGTTTAGGATGATTATATTCCACTTATGATGATATTTGAATAATTTTGCAGAGATGGTCTATTATTAGAAAGAAACGAGCCAACTTGAATGTAGGAAGTGGTTGTAATCCACCTGGCTCTGCACCAACCGAGGCACACATGGCGACATGGCAGGCAGTCAATATGGCCATCAAGATGCCTATAATTGGGGCCTTGTCAACAAGACGCCCGGGGACTACTGGTGATCATCTTTTATATTTTTAGCTTCTATTGAGTCTCTCCATAAATTGCTGCTGTCTCTTATAGTTTCTAGAGAGATAAACCTGTGATTGTAAGATACACCGCATTGAAATGACAATACAGGACTTTCTTTTCCCTGAAGGAGTATACACATGGGGGAAAGATTCCTAAAGTAGTAACACATGGATTGAAGATTACTCTTACTTTGGAGGCTTTATTGCCATTTATGCTCTGCTATTATCCTTATCAATTGAGATGATTGCATGAGCAATTTGACATATTCCTAGTTATTGAGAATAATCAGACTCCAGTATAATTGAAACAGGTGCCCTACAATCAACAGATGCTGCCGGTTCATCTGCACCTTCAACTGCCTCCGGGTCTGACCCAGCGGCAGTTTCCTCTTCAGAGGCACCAAATCAGTCGCCGCAGCCCGGCAACCCGACAACTTCACAAAAGGTAGTCGCTTTGAACCACCCTCCAAGTAAGCCTCGAGTCAACCCAAAGGTGCCTGCAGTTACAGTGAAGTCCCTGGGAGGGCCCAGTAGTATCATACAGGCAGCCGCCATTGCTGCTGGCGGCCGGATCGCCCCTCCTTCCACCGCCGCTTCTCACTTCAAAGCAGCGCAGTCTAAGAATGCCGTCCATATCAGGCCCGGTGGAGCCCTGCCCAGTTCATCAATTCCAGCTACAAAGGCTCTACCTCCTGTGAGTATTCGCTGCACAAAGACTCCAATCTCACCAAAAGAGGCTGCAACGTCTCCTCTTGGTTCCAGACCTTCGACCCATCAAGGAGCATGTGGGTTATCTGGTCAACCTTCTCCTTCCTCTGATGCCACGGCTGCAAATCAGCCTGCAGAGCAGTCACAGCCTGAGCTCTCCCCAGCAAGCCCCTCGTGCACCGATGCAGAGGGAAATGTGGAACCCAGGAGTGCTGTAGTGGCCCTTGACTCGAGCGATGGCTCGCCACAGGTGGAGAACAAGACCCCTGAGGAGATCATCTCTTGTGATCAGGAGGATCTTGTGAAAAACATGGATACGGACTCGGATGACAAGATCTGTGTGTATCAAACTGGTGATTTTAAGGATGTAGCCAGGAGCCCAGAGGGGACCGATCCTGGAATGGTGAAGAGAGAGGATGCAGGGGAGGCTGTTGAATTTGGTGACAGCCCAACAGCAGCAGATCCTGAAACAGCAAAGTCAGAGATGCCATTTTTAAACACTACAGAGGATGTGGCTCTGGTTGTCAAAACTGCCACCGAAGGATTGGGAATGACTCGAGGATCGCCAAATGGTGAGATGGCTATGGACATCACCTTGAGGAAAGATGTTGACCCTTGAAGACTAAGAAGAGGGATGTGAGCAATTTAGTACCAAAGAAAGAAAAAGTACTTGTAGAACAACTCCCCATGCATAGAAATGACTTATGATTTTATTGGGAGGAACAAGAATAGGATGGAGTGGGTGAAGTGGCCCTCTTTGGATCCCTATTGGCGTTTGGATTAAATATTAGCTTGTAAAATTAGAGTGCCCTGTTTGGATTTCTTTGAGGAGAATAATACCATGAAAAATTATTTTTGTTTTGATCCCCCTCTTGGATTTACTTTTCTAATAATAACCTTATTATATCAATTTTTTCATGTGTCAACACACCTTGACCTCCTTTCTCTACATATGAGTTCACTCATAAGTCAACCCCTATTCTTACAATTAAGTGTGGAATGAAAAACACTTTAAATGATAAGCCCTAAAAATTAGAAGACTAATCCATAAGTTAGATTATAATATTTATAATTTAATAAACAGTCACAAATGGTTCAATTACTTTTTTGCAACATAAAAGATCATTTTACCACCCACATGTCTTTTACTAAAGGCTAGCATAAAACTATATTTTGTTCTTGCTAAATGAGTCAACTCATCTTCTACAGTGATAAAATTATTTGAGTCATTTTTTAGTAGACTCACTCCCATAATATATATAGATCTACTCATTTCTCATATCAAATGAGTCAAGAAACTTCTTGCAAATAAGTGAGAAGTTAAAAGCTCTAAATGGGTGAGAGATTTTTTCATTTGCCTAAAATGTAAACTTACAAGTAAAAAAAAAAAAAAAACAAGTTATTTTACCCTTAAATCGTGCATTTTTCTGTTGTGTAACTCATCTAAGTGAGTTCACAAATTAATATATTATTATATTAACAAATAGTTTAAGAAAAATACCTCAAATAATATCACTGATCGTAAATTAGTCTGTGTTGTGGATTATGAAGCTTAGGATTAACTCTAATATTTTCCCAACCTTGTTTTTAATCCCTTGCGCAACTCTTAATCTACTTGTGATTTGCCCATAGAAAATATCAATGCGAAATCAACAAATCTTCATGGATTAACCACTGCAAGCTATTGTGCTCCATTGTGTCTACGAGCGTGAACTGCATTAAGTTAGCGTGTACACTAAGAGAAAAATGAACCAAGGTTCTCAACATACCTCTCTCTCTCTCTCTCTCTCTCTCTCTCTCTCTCTCCAACATTCTCTTTTCTTCCTCCATTCTCTTTCTTTATCAAGCTAGGCAAATCCAAATCAGTAAAAATAAGTAACTATCTGTTTCATATTTTTCTGTTTTCTTTTTTTAAAATTTTCAGTATCGATGTATTAACTATTAGATGGACCGCTTTCCCGCTACAAGGGGCTCACGAAGACTCACTACCCTTCCCACGTGTAGCCAAGACTTATCAGTGGGCCCATATACTCTCCTCTTTGCCCTGTTTGGCCAACGCTTGGTGGGGCCACAAAATCCCCTGCCTATGCTTAGTCCAGTTTAGTCCACAAGCCTGAAAGTCAACCCCTTACATCTGGTGATGCAGATTGTAGACTCTGCAAACACGATGGTCAACGATGACATGACAAACCCAAATCTGTACTAATATGTAGTAAAAAAAGTTCGTTCTTTCTAAAAAAAACAGACTAAACAAAAATTCGAATGGCATTTTAAAAGCTGCAAACACGATGAATGATGAACAATATAAGGTCAAAGGGCTACTTTCTAAACAATAAATTGGGAAAATTCTATATTTAGTAAACTTCAACCTGAAGAGTTATACCAAAAATAGACAACTAACAGAAAAAATCTAGATTTCCCATCATCTTCAATGAGACTCCATGCCCATAATGCACACTGACAAAGCAAGAAAGGGTTAAAAGGGAATTTCAGATAAAAAAATCATAAAATTACATATTTTCAAATATTAATCTACAAACTCTTCTCTTTTCCAAAAAAAAAAAAAAAAAAAAAAAGCTAACAACAATCATCCAGATTTGGCATCATCTTGAGTGGCACAGTTTATTTGCTGCTTCAGATCGTTGGCATTGAGAAGGCACACTGAACAAGGAAAGCACCAGGTTTTCACTCTAATTACAAGATGATACACAAGTACTTGAGCTCTTCATCTTCCCCACAACTGAGCTTCTCTTCTGTTCATCTAGGTAGATAGATACACGCCGGATTCCAGGAGAATATCGAGAACAGAATCCGCACCTTACTATTTAGTCGGATTCCAAAAAGGAACATTGAGAACAAAATAGCATCAGAAGAGGACCAGTCTTGTTTTTTTCTTGCACCTTGCTATGATCTTTGACCTGTGAATACAGATGGTTGACCTATACACGGATCTCAGTCATCGATTTCCTCAACCCAGGATAAATCTGTGACAGCAACCACCAAAAACCCAGAGTTAGAATTTTTTTTTTTTTTTTTTGGAACGAGTTTCTTGAGCAATTTAGATATTCTTTTTCTTTTTTTTTCCTTGGAAATGGTGATGAAGACAGAGGGAGGTTTTCAGGTGAGCCGCACGCTATCCAGCTGCGGATTCCTCCAAGATAATTTGCAGAGTTAACTGAAATCTGCAAGTTTTAGATTGTATTTTTCAAAAAAAAAAAAAAATCAGAATTCGCGCTCCACATCATAGCAAAGATTAAATCGTGTGGAAGGCGTAGTGGGAGTGGGAGAGAAAGATTTTATAATATTTAAGGTTTGGAGTTTCATAGTTGCATAATCTGACGACAGAGTTTCAGCAATGAATTCGGGCAAGTACCTTGAAGCACTGCTTCTACAGCTGCATTGGGGATGAGAAGTCCAACCACTCTCTTATGGTCCACGGTTGTTTCCAACCGAACAACGCGTATTCTCTTGTGGCTTTGTCGGGACTGAAGACCATGATTAAGAAATATTATTCATCTAGTGGGAAAAAGAGAGCAATATGAATCAAGTAAAGATAAATCATGGGAGATTAACCAGACGCATTGTTCCTTTCAGAAGACATAATCAGTTTATAGTGGGTAGCACAGAGCAGAGTAATAATGTTGAAAATTTTAAAGTAAATGATGGATTTTTATTCGTGTGTGTTAAACCTGTTGATATAGATACATGGCGTTAGTCGACATCATACGATCCTTTATGAGATAGATTCTATGAAACAAAATTGTCTGTAGAAGTCATGGAGAAGGTCACACGTTACAGAGGAATTAGCCACAAGAAAGGAAATCCGACTTAATTTTTCAATAGAAAAATCTCAATTCATGATGGTCCAGTTGCTTTTAGTAATTGGAAAATCCTAACCAACAAAATCGGAAAACCAGCTTCATCTCACCAGGTATAATGTTCTAACCAACAAAAAAGGCACAATCCTAATCTATTTCAGGTACCTGAGGACGTGTTCAAACCATAAGTTCAAAAGTTGAAAGTATCTACTTTTTATATGATACTTTGATGACCAAAAATGCAACTCGTTGTGCATTTTTCGTGAAGCAATTTTTTTTTAAATGAAATTATATAATGAATTTTACTCCTTCCAAATTGAAAGCTTCTCAGAATAGCTGTTTCTAGGGGATTCAATATTGTAAAATTCTTGAGATTTAGAGGCAGCCCTTTTATTATAAATAATGCCTTCCAGATGCAATACAAGAAATAATTTGTCACATGTACCAATGGCTCACGGAGCAAGAACTGGAACTGCATCAAATGAAATGGTTATTCCATAAAGTGAATATGATTCCAGTACGTTGAAGCCTTGAGCACCACAGTAACTAAAAGGTATATTGCGAAATTAAGAAAAATCAAATAAAATGAAAGGTTGACCAAAATGCTCCCGAAAAGAAGTCAGTACCTGCTTAGAGAGGGCTTTCTCAATAGTACCCCAGACAGGAAGAATGAGGCCCCCCAACACATTGACCTCTTGCAATCTTCTTCCAACTGTACAGTAACCTGCAAGTCTGCATTTGGGCCCATGCATACACTGTAACAGAATGAATCAGTTAACTCTGAAAACTTTGACAAAGATCAGTGCACAACCATCAGAACATAAAAAATATAGCAATGTATGGATATTTTTTCCAGTCTATTCATATTGTAATGTTCCATCGATCCAGGCTGGCTAGAATTTATGACTAAATATTTCAGATACTGAAGAGAATTTTTGTGATCCTATCATGTTGAATGTGATCCTTAGTCGTGTTGCGACAAGTTTCTGGACTCAAATCAAAGTTCATAACCTAGGGATGCCACTTGGCGGGCCATATATGATGACACGTCCATTTCATGTTCTCACCAGATTCTCATATTTAGCTAGTCACACCTAGGAAAGAAAGTCAGTCAATGTAATTTTACCCATCCACGTGGAAGGAGGTCCCCATTGTTTGTACTTACCTACAATCTCGCAAACATCCTTGCAAGAGGCAACATGAATATGAGAAAAAATTTGATGACCAATGACATCTATTCTTCAAATCTCATCACTGGGAATGATTAATCCTCTCTTGTTTTCCAAGATAGTACACGCCCATGCCCACCCAACCTTATCCATATTTAATCCCCCATCTTAAGCTTTCTGCTTGCAAGGGGGATCGTTTTTTTTTTTCCAACTCACCCACTAACCAATTGAGCCTTCATGCTCCCACCTTGCCACTGTCTACACAATTCTTCCGGTATCTAGAAACACCATCCAGCCAAAAGAACAGCACATTCGAGTATAACGGACACCCAAAAAGCATGGTCAGTGTTCTCTAGTTTTAATCTAGTTAAGCCACCTCACTGATCACACGAGAACGAGCTCCTTAATAATGATTTGATGCACTCACCAATACCGCAAGGGAGATTTTCTTGACGTTGAGAATATGCGTTCCCTCCCTGCTAACCTGCCTTTCATGAAATGATTTACATCCCACCATATTCCTCGGCACTTTTAGGTGTTTGCCCAGAAGTCCCATTACCATGATTATTCTCATAGCTGTGGTTGACAGGATCATGCCTATCAGTGTTGTCTTACACTAGGTATATGAACAGAACTTCTGAAACAGAGAAAACCTTGTAACTGTAAATGCTCCAGGAGAAGTATGGAATAGTCTTAAATCCTTGGCGTTGAGGTTACATTGAAGCATCCAGCACTAATGAATAATTCAATGAAAATAATCAAGTTTCGTGCAAGCATCGTCATATCTCCATACAGGGTATTCTACATGGCCTATACAGTATCTAGGACCACCCTACATATTCAGACATCATTAACCATGTCGCATTTCTTTAAGCCTAATTACAAATGTCAATAAACCCTGGTTTTTTGGGCCTAGGAAAAGACCGCAAGTTGATTGAAGAAAATATAGCATGCCTTTTTCCTTTGAGAAGTTGAGAAAGATAGTATGCCAATATCAAAGCTTCAATGTGACATTTTAAAAAAAGTAGGTCGAGAAGCCAAATACAATAGCCGACTCAGAAGGCAAAATAGTAATTCAGTTAAATTTTGTGCATTAAAATGAGAAAGAACTGGATAGTTGATTATTTCATCAGATATTTCCGTCGGATTTACCTGTCTACATGATATGTCATACTCGTCTTGCCAACCTGCGTGAGCATTCTCAATTGAAGAGACCTTTCGGTATTTACTTTTGAGCTCAGAATAAGGCATTTCCCTGTAAATCATGAGAATATTGGAAAATAATGGCACCAGTAGTTTCACGACTTTAAAGAAATGCATAGAGATTTATGTACCTCAGCGCTTCACCAACAGCAGGGCGAAATATTTTGAACACTTCCGAAGATGAACTGAGAATTTTGATCAAGAAAACGAGAAATTCAGAAACTTCAAGACAAATAATATCAGCAAGAAAAGAAACACGAGATTAAGAAGCCATCAATGGAAGACAAATGAAGATATTTGAATATACCCAACTTTCGAAAATAATGAAATCCTAATCCATGTAAAATATTTCTGTGCAAAAATAAACAAAGAATAACAAAGGTATCAAAGCATGAATGCCAGTGAAAATTAAACTAGTAATAGGTTGTTAATATAAGGTAAGTCAGTGAAAACATATTCCGGACATTCAAATCTGGACCGACCAAATTGAGTTAAATGTTTGTATTTGCATTAGACACGTGGTACAGGGAAAAAGACAACCCAGACCTCATCACTTTTCTCTTTTTTTCTTTTGGGGAAGGGGAGGTTGGAGTATTGAAAATCATGACCCGACCATTGCCAACTTTACTGTTGCTACCACCCTCGTCATCAGCCACCATAGGCTTACTGCCGAAGGCCACTGCCGTTGGAAGAAAGAAAAATATTATAAAAGGACATCCCCCACACCTAATTGACACCAACTGCCGCCATGGCCCACTGCTGATCCTGCTGACTGCTGCAACCTGCATGACTTCCCCACTCGTGGATAAAGAGAAGGGAGGAAGCAGGAAAGACTACTTTTCAAGAATGTCTGAATAAAGAAAACTCCTCATTTCTTAAGTGTCCGTCAAATTTTCTTATTCAACAGAGGATATATATACTTCACGTAATTTCATTTATATCCTTCATGAATTTTAAAACCCAGCTTGATCTCTGCCCAAAGAGTGGCAGTCTGATTGCATGTACCCTGCGCAGACATTTACTAAACAGGGCACTTGTCCTGAAAAAGTTCCAATTCCACAGGTTCACAGCGATCATTTTGAGGCTTCTTCTCCTGCACAATTTCAATCATGTTTACTTTTCGAACATTCACTAATGTTTCATGCTCCTCTCTGGAGCTTTAGACCGTATATTGGTTCACGAAATGGGTGTAAACCGGAAATTTCAGAACCGGTATAATGCCGGTATAATGCCGCATTGTACACCTCAGACTGAATGGTCACGAAAACCATTCAGTAACAAATACTGAAGCAGCTCACAGAGAACACAGTAAATATACATTATATGCCAACTGCGCCTCCTATTTAGTCTATCTAGACATAAGAAGATGGACATGTATAAACACGAATATTGAAGGAAAGAAAATAATAATAAAAATGGAATTCTAAAAATCCATACACATTGAAATCCAACTTACTTCCATTTAAACCACTTCACACCAAGGAAGATGCATAATCACATTCGAGTCCAAGTTCTAAACCACCAAGTCCATTCCGGGTTTTTGTCACAGGTTATAGCGTTGGGGTGCATTCCGTACCAAGGGTTGGGGTGCATTCCGTACAACAAATCTTATCTAATGCAGTTGGACCTACCCTCATACAATTTTCCTTTTTTAACTTGATCCATAAAAGGCTAATGATTTCCACACTGAGACTCGGATATGTTTAGTATAAACTCAATAATCCTATTCCACAGTAACTAGCCGAGGCCAACAGAGAATTGTGCTCATAACACAATTCTTCATCATGATGGTTACAACCAGATGCCTTCTCGCTGAAGTTCAGTCCAATAACATTCAGTTTCTTCCCTGACACAGTCATGTGTAACAAGGGATACTGAAACCATGACACAGGTCAATCGAAGTAAATCCTATAAGTAGCGCTGAACCATCCCATATGTGAAAAATTAGGCTCTCTCTCAATTAGCTGTGAGAATGCAATAGGTGATGTTCCAACGAGCCAAATACTACAGAAGCAGCATTTTGAGCAATAACAGTAAAATACAGCCGCGCTTATCAGCCAATAGCATTAAAACAAATGAGAAAGTAGTTGCAGTATACATTTTTCCCTCTTAAAACTCAATGAGAACCTAAACAAATATATGCACAAAGCTAAAGACACAATGAGAATAAATGACACAAAATAACGCTTCAATCAACACCAACCATAATACCTTTCAAATGCTAAAACGAAATGCCTCCTTCCCATCCATTCACGCCTAGACTCATAAAATCCATTGTTCGCTGAGCCAGCTTCATCTTTTTGCCTCTCATCAAGCAAACTTTTAGCAAACTGAGACAATTATATCATCCAAAAGAATTAGTTTCTAAGATAGTAATCAGGAAATATGGGGAAACATTGAGATAAAATTTTAATTTTTTGCTATAATCTTTCATGTTAGATTTCAACCCTCCAGTGATATTCTTAACAAACCCACGAAAAAGATCCAACGTTTCTAGGGCCCTCCAGCAGTTGGACGTGAAAAGATATAAACAATATACCAGTGGCCAGGCTGAATGATCAGGATCCATATTTTCATCTCCTTTGGCCATTATTTATTTCTCTATCCACATTTGGTATACAAGCACAGTGAAAAATGGGTTGATGAGAAGAGTCAATTAGCACAAGAAAAGAAAAACTTCTGGGTAATCACATGAAACAGCAGTGCCACTAAATCTCCCACCATCCTAAGTATAATCATTCCCCTCTCAAGTATAAGTCTTTCAAGTGGAACTAAACCATAAATCTGGGTTGGATCTCCCATTTCCCAAAAACACCAAGTCGATAACTTATGAAAAACCAGGCATGGAGGGTGAAAGCTAAATATATAAGACCATGGACAATAAAGGTCCGAGCATTTACCTCCCAAGTCATTCCACGGTCGACAGTGAATGTGAACAACATGGTAGGCGCACCAGTCATTTGATCTACATGAACAGTCTGTAAGATAATATAGTTAGATTTTACAGAAAATTAAGAGCAATGAAGTTATATTTCAGGCATATCGAACCTTCGGTGGTCCTCGTAGTTCAATAACATTTGCTTTGATATCAACAATTCCAAAGTCGAATTGTCCTTCTTTTCGAGCATTACTTATTAAAAGATCAAGAATGTTGGTGAAAAACTCAAAAAGCCTGCACACAAAAGTCAAGCATCCAATGAAACAAAGGGACACATACGTGAAAACAACTTACTCTCAACCATTCATATACCTATTTTGAAAGTAAGGAGGTAAGCCCAAAAGCCTATTGAGAAATCGTCCAACATCATGCATATCTGAATCCACAATACGACCCGAAAGCTTCCCAATATCCTTTCCACTGCCTGCATCAGATTTTACAAAGACTTGGATATTAAAAATCCTTTTTAAAGGCTCACATACTGTAGGACTATGAACTTGTAATCCAAAACTGCCAAAATCCTCCAGCGCATTGACACAATTATCCTAATCATACAAGAAAACCATCTAAGATACATTTTATGTTGCCAATGCCACTTCAGGGTTTAAACCCACATTTTAAATAATTGGTCTAACATTAAATCTATTTTTTTCCTGACTTGGTCTAAAAAACATTGCTCGAATCAATTTCAGGTTTGAAGAATAATGACTTGAATATAGATAACGCAGAACTGGGTAGGGGATATATATTGGTTTAAAAGGTATTGAGTTGATGTCTCACAATTATACAGTAAACTGTTCTCCGACAAGTGTCCTAGGTCAGCGATTCATATGTTTGCAATTGATCTATCTTAAATCTGATGGTTGTTGATTCTATATACAGTACCATTGCTTGTAATCTACTAACTGGGTCTCTAAGGTGGGTTGGGTCTTCATAATCCTCATCAAACTTTTAAAATAGTAGAATAACTTGTCAGCTTTCCCTAAAAAACAAAAAAGTTAGGATCACATCTTTGGGAGATTCATAAACAGTCCTGGTATTTTATCTGTTGCAGTAGGAACCTCTTTTCAGGATCCCCCATGATTGATTGTAATTAACCAGTTCTGACAAAAGGTTGGAGCACGTTAGAACTTCAAAACCTTTAAAAAAAACTGCTACAGACTGTCAGACCTGTGTGATTCAGGTAGGGAACGAATAGCCACTTAGTATAGGTTTCACCCTCTTGAAGTGGAATATTTAAAAAGGGACTAATGGAGATCATGTTGGCTTTCAAACCTCAGATTACTCTAAATAAAAGAATACTCCATTCAAATAGTAATTCTTACGGCCAATAAATATTAAAAGAATTACAACACAGTGCTTAACCCGAAATTGAACATGACCCAGCTAACTCTGTAGATTGTCACCTACACTGCCGGAACTGTAAAAACAATGCCTTCCAATGATGTCTGAAATATTGGCCACCTTAAAGGTTAGAGGTCTACACACTTGATGTTACACAAAAAAGAACCGAGGAATACAATGTTTTTTGGGTGATAAAGGCATCATGATGCTCATGATTGTTAGAACATACCAATAATTGTATCCCTAACAACTCCCACTGATATAAGAGCTGCTTTTGCTTTGATTAGAAATTCCTGAATGGAAGCCGGTTTTTCAGGTGAGCATCCAGGAGGCGCAACTGGCAGAGGATCCTGTAGATGTAAATAAATCAATGCAATAAATGACTGACACAATGCAGATATATTTTGAATTCATATCAATTAACAGGACCTGCTCCATTATTCCTTTATACATCATCACCAAGGCTTTTTTTCCGTAGCTGCAGTCATAATTGTAAGCACTTAATGATAGCCCAGCCCTGTACAAGGTGAGTAGTGCGTCAAGTCCAGAGTAAAAGGGCATGATTAACTCAAAATCTATGAATGTTCATGGGTCAGTACAAATGATACTCGAAATTAGAGAGACCTGCGATCCCCTTGTGTCAAAGCTCCGAGTGTCTCCAGCCTCTTTGCAACTGTTGATGCAAAGCGTCTTTCACCACCAAGGTTGGTAAAAATAAGGCTTCACAAAAGTTCTTAGAATGAGAAACAGCCAAAAAATAAGTTTAGGTCTTTTAAAACTAGCGAGTCCATAAATTTTATAAGCTGACGGAGGTATTTTATCCGCATTATCATGCGTAATATCAGCCTAAGTAGTAAAAAATTACAGTCACAAAAAAGTAGTAGAAAGAATGGGTTCATCCGCCTAATTCAGTTCTTTATTTCAAGCTGGCATCCCTTCGTTGATTTTCACCTTGGACGGCCAGGCTGCTGTTCAGATATCATTAACCATTACATAAGAAGATCAATGTATCTTCTGCATCCATTTGTCTTTTTCTCATCTCCAACCTTCGAATGCACGCGAACTAATCTATTAGTTTGATATATGACAGCCTGGGATAAAATCTAATGTGAATCTAAAGGAGGGTCAGCTATGTACTAGCATTACATTTTTCAATCAGATGAGATTGCCAAATCAGCAGGCATAATTCAATCCAGATCAGGATCTATACTCCCAAATCAGTAAGTTTAAGGGGAAGAGCTTAATCCAGTCTTAGAAACGAAATATTTATACATACATTCTTTATGCATGTATAAGTATATGAGAGTTTTAATTTAATAAAATGCACTCCTAACTCAAATGCTGAAATGTTCAAAGCTCCTGATTGCCTTTTCCTCAAATGAGAGGAGATGGCTTGTCTACGGTGACCAGCAGAGGGGTGTCTCCACAGATCCATTGAGGCTGACGGTGATTGGTGGCCATTAAGAATTCTCAATCATGTTGCACCATGTATGGAAATTAACACCGTGACGATGGTCATCACAGGAACCTGTAGCCTGTTAGCATTTATAAATCATAATGCACCATGTATGGGAACTCACACTGTGATGGTGGTCATCACAGGAACGTGTAGCTTGAGGGTATATTGGGAAAGATCGTGTAGGTTTCATTCCCTCTTTAAGGGGTGGTAAATGTCAACGAAATGCGAGGTGGTTTCCCCCTCCTTCCCTTTGTCTGCTGAGATAGAGGAAAATTCATCCCCCACTCTATCTATTTCCCTCTCTTCGTTTTGACAGTAGCAGTTCGGAGAAGTTCCTTTTCCAGCACTTTGTCACCCTTTCTAATTCTTTTTCATCTGATATTGCCTTCCCTAGTCCTCTGTCCTCCACTGGTGAACAACAGGCGTGGCTGTTCCAGGCACATCAATTTCTTCCTCATTTTTCAGTCTTTCAAGGAAACATTAGAAAACAACAACCTTAGGCGAGGCGCAATATTGCCTAAGTAGATAGCTCACGTGCCAATATAGCCAATTTTCCCCATCATCTTTCTCTATTTACAGAAATTTTCCATATTTCTGCCGTTGATGCTCCTGGCTAATAACTCTACACAGATTCAAGGAAATAATGAATATTAAGGAACTCTTCATGGGTACCCGACTAATTAACGACATTAAATGAGAAAAGAAAATTATCAAACCTGGTCTATGCTTCATGTTTGATTAAAGAAAAAACAGAAAGCAGGTACACTTTGAAATGTATGTAAAGCTTCAGGATCCATTGACCAATAACCAAGAAAAATATGCTGCCTAAGGATCAACTAGGAGCAAATGATCTAGAAGCAAAGCGACCTATCTACCAGATGTCACCCGTAAACTCTAGATAGTGGATATTGCACATCGGCACTATGCAGGTTTGCATCAGTCTCTTCTATAAATCTGACAGGACAGGCACAATATTCACTTGTGAATTATATTAAAATTTTGATAAATATAATACGGAAGGATATGAGTAACACACCGGTATTCAGGGGCACAAGCTTGATTAGATCTGTGACTTCTTCCAAACTGCTGGATTGCACGATCAGCACTCCAAGGAAGTTCAAGAGTAATATGAACCCTCCTTTTCTGGCGAAGAAAACATTATAGAGCATTTTCAAAAATGGAAATAACACTATGATTTGTTCAATAGCCATGTGATATTCACATAAAGTATGCAATGAAGCTACATTTAAATAATTTACACCAGGCAAAAGAAACAACTCAAGGAAATGTTACTTGATTGATAGCTCTTCTATCGGCATGAAGAGAAACCCCAGCAGATCCAGCTTCAGAGATTACTGCAACCAACTTTTTTCCATCCATAAACAATTGCTTTTCGTGCATATTAACCATTTCCATGGAAACCTCTTTTCTGCAAAATTGAGTAAGAGTAATTCAAGAAATGCTATTACGGTAAAACAAGAGAAAAAACCAAATTAGTCCTACTCACGTGCTTCTCGCCTGATAGATGACTCCTTTCCCGCCAGAAGCCCTAACAAGCATACCCCGCCTGCCCGTTATTTCAGCGACATTTTCAGGGCCTCCCAGCTATTAACGTCTCAGTTACCAGGAGAGAGTAAATAGACGTTCGAAACCAACATTACAGGTAAACAAAAACTCACGCATACACTGAAATGACAGCAGCCTCAATAACCAGTGTAGAAAACAAAGACAGAATTAACGAAGAGTGTTACGCAACTGCAAGCGTCATATCTTACCCTCATAAAAAGCACATGCACTCATGAGACATTAATTGATCATAGTCACATGTGCCACAAGACCATACATGGATATAATCACTATGGAGATTCATTAAATAAATGCAATACCGAACATGTTTTTGTCAGAGTTCTAGCTTTATAATTTCATTGGTGTGATTCCTCTCTCCCAGTTGAGTAAGATAAGCTGAGATGATTATGACGAAGAAAACAGCATAGAGAATCACCAACATTATGGAAATAAGATCTGCTTTAACTAGTTTGGAGTTTACAAAGCCAATAATCTTTGGTTGACAAGTCCAGTGAAAAAAAAAAATTAGGACGAAAGATAACTCTTGAAATTCAAGTGAAATCAAGTAAAATTTGAAAAAAATAACATTATGCAAATCAGTGCCTAACCTCATTAGAAATTAACATGAAGCATGATTGACACTCAATAAGGGTAGAAAAAATTCACCTAATTTAAGCCTAATCAAACTACAGCTGAGCATCATTGCATGCAGTTACACATAACTACAAGATAAATATAAGTCGGAAGATCAGACACCCCAAATTTAACTTAAGAGGGTGAATAACTAATATATAAGAACTATATCAGCACCATTTGCTGAAAATTCAATAATTTGAAGTAGTTAGCAACAATTACCCATTACAAGATAAAGGGTTAATTTTATATTTTTTGGATTTTGGTATAATTGAGTGCAGTTGAGCTTAATTGACCAGCGACTGATGCAATCATATGTAATAGAATGCAATAAGAATAATAATAATTAAGTGATGAAAAATTGATTTCAAGCGTAAGTGCTGAAATGACTGAATGTAATTCAGTAAATCTCATGGCAAATTTGGCGATCGAAACTAACAGGCCGCCTAAACTCCTCACATTAGGGGTCCAAAATTCTAAATCCGATGGTAGCTGTACCCTAGAAATTACATAAAAATCTATACTATTAATACCCGAAGTTCAAACACATTCATTACATATAGGAATCCGATGTTCTCAGTTCGGTGATATGTGCGCCCTATTGAATGAGAATTACCATTTGCCATCTTAATATAAGTTCAAGCAGTATACTTCAATAAATTTCGCCCAAAACACCTATCCCACTATAACAAAATACCAAGCATCTATCTCCCCTTAAATTAAAATAAAATCTAGAAATATAGAGAAAGGCTAATGACAGAATGCCCATTTTTTAATAATCCTGAACAATGGACCCTACTTTTCATACTTAAAACACTTGAAGTCAGTGCACTAAAATAGTAAAACATGTCTAATGAATATAAAATCAACAATGAGATTTACTGAGAAAAGGCTTCTTCTTGACAGAAATGGCAAAGTGTTTACACAATACAGAACTCACTTGATCAATAATATCATCCAGGGGATTATTTGGAAGATCCAAGGAACGAATTATCTCCAAAATCTTTAGCTTCCGGTCCTTAGCTGCTTCATACCTACTCATTAAATTTGATACAACATTACTACTCTTTCCTCTAATTCCAGAAAAAAAATATCCCTATAAGTCGAAGACTCGTCATACAAAATAAAAGCAAACACCTCTTCCGCATTTCAGCGACATAGGCATGTCTTCCCTGAAGATACTCATCAGTCTTTTCCTTGCACGAGTGACATGACCAATTAGCAGATGGAAGGTCCAACAAAGGTGGTACCAAGCAAGAAGGGTGGAAATGTTGCCCACAACATGAACAACGGACAAGCTTCTTTCTCTCCTACAAGAAACGAGCAACAGAAATTTGATGAGATGCACCACATGAAAGCATGAACATTTACCAAATCTTTACCTCTTCAACATTGCAGACGTCACAGATTTGAAATTCATCATCTGACTCACCGGACTCAAAATCAGAATCCACTGCGTCAAATACAAAGAAATCATCCATTCAGTTTGCCATTAAATAATATCAAAATATCTAGGCCATGATTGTGATTCAAAAATATATATTGGAACCTGAAAGCAGAATATTTTGAATGGATCGGACAAGTGCTTCATTAGCAAAAAAGATGTATATTATGTTTCGTAAAATAAATAAATAAATCACGAAAAATTCGTGTAATTGAAATTGTCGATAGAAGTGAGGCTTCTGTGAAAAAACTCTAAGGATTTTAAGTTTTACAAAATCGTATTGCAGAAGGGCAATTTGCCCACATTGATTCTTTTCCAGTAGCAGATACTCTTTAAAAGAAATTTTATATCATCAGGCAAATACAAACTGTTATAATTTTTATCTTTTCACTTTTCTGAACGTCAATGAAGAATGAACGTGCTAAGCATACAAATGTACATCATGGCACATGGTTGCATACATATGATATTATGTTACATAATTGCAACACGCTAAGAAATTTTAGGAATTAAGAAGTGCAGGAACGTCAGCCCATTAAGCTATCAAGATTTTCTTTAACCGATTTTTCCCATAAGAATAGAACATAACACTTGAAGCAGTAATATAAAGCAAAAAAGGTTTCACTCAAATCAAGAAGTAACGTTAAAACTTGTAGTAAAAAATAAAAATGCATAAAATAAAAAACCTAGTTTACCAGAAAACAGTTCAGTAAGTGAATGATAGGTGCTATTAGTATACCTGCATGCAACCAATTCAGCATCTAAGTATATTCATTGCAAGTTGAAAGAGTCAAAACGATTAAATTGTCTTTCATCAAGTAAAAATAGAAGTTGTTTATGCAGAACAAAGAGCACAGTTTGTATGGAAACTTACTGAGAAGTTCTTCATCACTGTCAATTTCTGGTGGTACCCACTTTGCAGCTTTCCTAGCCCTTCCTTTTGTCGGGATGCTAGGAGATGCTAAATGCCTTTTCTTCTGTGGGGTTTTCTCACAATCATCCCCTGCAATGGAATTAACAAACCATCTGGACACAGACTAACAACAAATTTCCATGTAAATTGCAAAAGGGAGAAACAGACAATTGACCTGACAGGGGTTCAGGGTCTGGAGGCAAAGGATAGTTTTCTTCAACCAATTTTACCAAAAGCTCCTTCGGGCCAGAAACAAAGTCATCCAATTCAAGCCCCTTCTCAATCAGGAAAACAAAAAATTACTGACGTATATGCATAAAAACAAAAGAATATGGAAATTTCAGGCATTCAAAAAGCAAACAGAATAGGATCAGAAAATATGCGAAAGATGGCACACATATTTGGTCACAGCTTCCTCTGTTCGAGCCTCTCCAGTACTCTGAAGGCCAATCACTGCACATTTGTTCTCCAACAATGCCTGTTTTGCCAGTCTCACAACAGCAGGTACTTTAGCAGACATGCACATGTGCCGAAAGAAGCGCTGCACCGATTGAGGAATTGAAAGAAAAATCAGAAACAAATCCTGAAAAGAAGCATGTACAATATTAAAGTAATAAAGACCAAAATATTATGAAAATAATAAATATTACCTGATGGCTTGCCCAATATAGTCGCCACAGCTGATTAGAAGTGGGCTTCTCCTCATAAAGAAATGCACTAGCAGAGAGTAACTCAACCCGTAATTCAGCCCAAAATTCAGCTGCTTTGTTGTACATGTTCTGAAAAGTGTTATCAGCAGTTCCATTACAAATCAACAATGATTCATAAATGAAGAGTGGGTGAAAAAAAAAAAACAAATGGTCCAACAGATGTGCAATCAACCACCATAGTGTAAGGTGCTCCCAACTCAAAGAAAAGTACAGGAACAAGAAAGATGCTTGTTGACCATGAATCGGCATTACTAAAAAGACAGCAAAAGAGTCCACAGATAAAAGATATAGGAAAGCACCATGAGTTCGCATCTTCCACTCAAGATTCAAAGTATAATTTCCGTAATAGAGGTAACAACGAAAATTTATTGCCCATTAGGATGTTAGAGCAATGCTTTCAGAAAGTATTATGTACCATCATTTTTTCCTCCAAAGGAGCTTCAATCACTTCAAAGTCAGCACCTTTGTAGCTAAGGGTGCGGCAGACGTACATGCCCCTGAACATTTTTAATTAAAGCCCAATAAATAACATGTAACAAGAATCAAAATCACTCTATCACTACTTTAAAGGCACTACCTTGCTTTCATGTCCATAGCAACAAGCTCCAGTGCCCCTACCCCACCCTTATCCAGGGCACCTATAAAAAATTTAAGAACGTCTAAATTTTGAACTCGTTCATATGTAAAAATTGAAATCTGTAAAGACAATACAGCAAACTGTTGATTGAGTGATTAAGAAGAAGATCGATCAACAAGCATAAAAAAAATTAATTACGAAAAATCATGGAATTTGATTATTAGGATAATCTTTGGTGCACATATTGTAAAAAACTCATCACACTAGAGATAGATGTTGGAAACTCCATGGTAAGCCACAGAACCCCACCTTTGGAAATCATGGAAGCCAAGAACATTTGACGCTAAACCTGCCTACTAACCCAACTCTTAGTCACCATTTGAGGCCCAAGATCCCTCCCTAGTTTGACTAAATGAGATAGAACAACTTCGAGTGGAATTGGAAAAGTTGAAGTTGACTAACACAATACACACCCATTCAGCCTAGTAAGTTTCACAACTCTCTTAAAATTAGAGCTCCATCTAGGGACATTTCACCACTCTTTCAGGCCATTGAGGACAATGACATACAAGGAATAGGGTCTGAACATATGGTCAGCCTAGGGTGCCTCCATGTTCAAGCAGTCCATCTGGGTATCAACAGCAAGATAGAGCTGCCAATTGTCATCTTGATTTAGCTCATGATGATGTCCACATCTTAGAGGAATACTTTGGCCTCGAGGTACCTCATTAGTGTCATTTTCTTAGATAGGGTGGTGCCAAGGGTGCCATGATGGGAGAATATGGTTACAAGAGCTTATAGCTCCTTGGTGCATGTCTATGTGATTTCTATTTCCCACCACTAAGGTAACATGCCCTAACATGGTACTATATTAAGTGGGCCAACACATACTAGTAGGCCTCCAAGAACTGGTCATAAGGTAGGACTAAAGAGATTGCAAAAGTTGACATTGTCACAAGGCTCTTCAACATCACAATCCCCCCAGTCTTACATTATGACCAATTCTTGAAGGCGTACTAGTCTGTGTTAACCCACTCAATATGGTACCCTGTTGGGGTGTACTACTTGAGTGGCAAAAAATAAAAAATCATAGAGATGTGCACCGAGGAGCTTTAAGATCTTATAATCATATTCTCCTATCATAATGCCTTTGACACTACCTTATATAAGAATATGACACTAATGAGGTACCTCGAGGCCAAAGTATTTCTCCAATATGTGGATGTCATGATAGGCTGAATTAAGATGACAATCAGCAGCTCTATCTTGCTATTAGTACCCTAGTGCACTACTTACACATTGAGATACCCCAGGCTGACCACATGTTCAGACCCTATTAATTGCCTATCATTGTCTCCAATGGCCCATACAAGATTAACATTACTACTGACACTAATACTGTATGGGCCCCTGGTAACCAACTACATACACTAACCTTGCAATGATCATATGTCAAATTCTTCTCATCATTTTATTTAATACAATCCTTATTCTAGTGACTGCATATGTCAAAGTATCAACTGCTGATAGTTCTCTTCTAATAGTTGTTAGTATAAGAGACCTCAAACTTGAGCTTCTTTAAATACTTAGCATTGTACTTCTATCCTAAAATTATTTACAAATCTCATCTATGTAAAGAAACTTGTGAACAATTCACCTTACTGTGTCTATTTTGATGAGGATATCTATGTGATATTTGATAAGGTAAAACACAAAAGGATTGGAGGTGCTAGAGAACATGAAGGACTCTACCTCTTGGAAGGACTAAGTCAAACATATCTCACGAAAGCAGATCAACCTTTAGATCCCCTAAGAGACCTCCCCAAAATATGGCTACTCCACTGAAGAATGGTCCATCCTTCCTTCAGCATTATGAAAAACTTTTTCCCTTCCTTATTTCAAAAGGTTTCCTTAGACACTCTTAAGTGCAATGTATGTGAACTCTCCAAACACATTCATACTTCTTTTGAAAACAAGGAGAAAAGAGTGAGATTAATTTCTTCTGCATATATAGTGACATTAAAGGACCCTATCTCAATAATGATCTTGTAGGAAATAAGTGATGTGTCACTTTCATAGATGATTGTACTCGTTGCACAACCGTATTTCTTCCAAAGTAGAAAGTTGATGTATGTGTGCCCTTAAAATAAGTGTTTTGTCACTTTTATAGATGATTGTATTCTTTGCACATGGGTATTTCTTTCTAAAGCAGAAATTTGATGTACGTGAGACCTTAAAACTTTTTCCTATTATGATTAAAAATCAATTTAGCATATACATAAAGAAATTTAGATCTAATAATGATAAGAATCCTCCTACATATGTATTCCACAGCAAAATGGCCTAGTTGAGATGAAAAATTGACATATCTTAGAAGTAACTAGATCAATCTTATTCTAGAGTAATGTCCCAAAAAATTATGGAGTTCAACTATCTTAACAACAACATATCATATCAATCAATTACCCACCCAAACTTTAGAATTTCAAAGCCCTATAGATCTATTGATATTACATTTTGCAAATAATCAAATTAAAACTACATTAGAACCAAGGTATTTGGTTCTCCTTTGTTCATCACAACAATCAGACCAAAGGAAAACTAGACCCACGATCATTTAAATGCATATTTCATGGATATTTAAATAATGAAAGGGTTAAAATGTTATTATCCTCCTCAAAAAAAATTAATCAATAGGTATTATATTTCAAGAAGCAAAATCTTATTTTAAAAAATCTCCATCAAAAGATCATCTTCTCTCCTACAAATCGTAGTAATCATCATTTAGATAATTTGGCAACTTTCTCCTTTGGCAATCCATTTGTTCTCCTTTCATTCAATGAGAAAACTACTTCTAACTCAGATCCACTTCATAAACATCTCAAGTTTGGCAAAATCTACTTTAGGAGAGGAGAAATCCATAACTCTATACCAATTCAAGATTCTGATCAAGCCTTAGATAATATCCAAAATACCTCACATGTACCATCTGTTGACATTGAAATCCTAGACTGCAATCCACTTCCTATTTCCTTGAGGAAATCAAAACGAGAGTGCACAAAAACTTTTGTACCCATCAACCAACTTCTTATCCTATCAAAAGTTTTCCCCATCCTATTAGCCCTTCCTCACTTCCTTAGACAACATTACCATTTCAAAAAATGTTTCAGAAGCTCTATTCAAGAAGTGGAAACAAGTCATGGATAAAGAAATGAGAGCCCTCGAACAAAATCAAACTTAGGATCTGGTGGAATTACCCAAGGATAAGAAGCTAAATTAGTTGTAAATGGGTGTTTACTGTGAAGAATAAATCCAATGGCTTATTGACAGACATAAACTAGACTAGTTGGTAAAGGCTATACATAGGTATATGTTATTACTTACCAGGAAACCTTTGCATTTATGGCAAAAATGAACACAATTAGACTTCTATTATCTTTAGTCACAATTTTCAATTGGGCATACAGCAATATGATGCGAAAAATACTTTCCTACATAGTGATCTCATTGACGAAATTTTGTGACTCTTCCACCAAGATATGAGGATTAGCTATCATCAAATGATGTGTGTAAGTTACAGAAGTCTCTTTATGGACTCAAACAATCACCTTAAGCCTAGTTTGAGAGATTTGCTATGGCAATGAAAAAGCTGAATTATAGCCAAAGTGATGGCAATCACATCATCTTTTTCAAACACTCTCCTCTACAATGAGTTACTATATTAGTTTATGTTGACAATATCATTGTCACAAGAAATGATGAAATAGAAAAATAAAACCTAAGCCAATACTTGGCTAGAGAATTTGATATCAAGACATTGAGCTGGCTCAAATACTTCTTGAGAATTGAAGTGGCTCAGTCTTCTAAAGGTACTTTCATCTCTCGTTACAAGTACCTATCAGATCTATTGAAGGATATTGGAAAATTGGAGTGTAAACTAGCACACCTATTGATCCATATCACAAATTATGCATGGCAAATGAAGAGTTTCTGCCAACTATGAGATGTATCAACGTCTCATTGGTCGACTGATCTATCTGACACATACTTGACAAGATATCTCTTATGCAATAGGCACACTAAGTCAATTTATGCAATAGTCAAAAGAATCTCATCTACATGCAACATATCGAGTAGTACATTACTTGAAAGGCACACCATGTAGAGCAGTTCTCTTTAAATGAAATGGAAAGGTAGAGGCAAAAATGTTTACGAATGCAAACTATGTAGAATCAATGATTAACCAAAGATTGACATGGAAGAGTAAGGAACAAAACATAGTTGCCCATTCAAGTGCTGAAGTTGAATTTAGGGCACTTGCCCAAGGTGTGTACAAGTTACTATGGGTGAAGACTTTACATAAGCTAAAAATTTCTCTAATCAGTCCAATGAAATTTTATTGTGACAACAAGTCGGCAATTAATATTGTACATAATCTGACACAGTATGATTTTAGTAAGGTTGTGGAGATTGATCGTCATTTCATCAAAGAAAAAATGAAAGCAAATTTGATTTACATGTCAGATATCTCTACACATAATCAACTAACAAACATACTAACCCAAGCTATCTCTGGCACAAAACTACAAAAGATTATTCTCAAGCTAGGAATGGATGACATCCACTCACCAACTTGATGGGAGTTTTGATGAGACATAATCTCGAGAATATCTATAAGTGTCTAGAACCTTCCAGGTCTAGTATAAATACTAGACCCCCCCACTATGTAAATAATGTTTTGAATGAGAGAAAAGATTCCTTCAATCTTAACTTTGAATTTTCTCCATGAGCACGAGGGTGGTCATTCCAGTGCACTGGACCCAGTCCGATCTTCAATAGATATATCAAATACATGTATGCTATTAAGGAAAACAAGATTTTTATGATGAATTAGCATTGATAACTTCAAGGATAATCTCACTTTTCATATTTGACAACAATAGCTTGTAAAAGAACAGCAGCAAGTGTTGAGACCAAAAAGCTAACTTTAAAAATAAAAGATCTCTAACAAAAGCAATCAACGACACCTCCAGGAAAAGTTAACATTTATCAGCAGTACATGCTCTGAGGTATGATTCCTCGGAGAACAATATTTTGATATACCTAATGTAAGTACGCAATCAAAAAGCTGACTGCCTTTGAGCAATCCTGATAGAAACAAGCTATACAAATAGAATTAACAGGATAATCCATAAAGCCTCATCCACTAAACTCAGCCACAAAGGAAAATGATAGAAAACATGATCCCTAAGAAAATAGAGATTGTAGATAGGAACAAACCAAGAAAATCATGGAATTTCGGAAAACATGTTCCAGCTCCCCAAAGCCCAAGTCGGACCATGTATCCCATATTTCGAGGCTCAGATGCACCAGTTGCAGAGCAATAAATCACTCGAGCCTCAGGAAGCCTTGCCTGATAGTGTGTTGTAAAATGAATCATTTAATTGAATATTATAAAAAAAGAAACATAAATGCAACGTAACTATAGACATTAACAAAGTTCCAATAGCAACACAAACCTGGATTTCAAGGACGGCTTCACCAGTCCGGGTTGGCTGGCTCCCAGTCTCAGGAATCAGATTTTTTGCTTTGTGACACTATATCAAATTTAAGAACCCAGGATATGAGTCTGAACTCAAAAATTGATAAAAACCCCAGGCAAAAGTAAGGAAACTGCACATGAGACAGAGACTAATGGCTACAGATTAAAAATCAATGGATCACCCAGTACCTCGTCAAATATCAGAAGACCATCATATTCTGAACCACACCACTGTAGAAGTTGCTGCAGTCGAGAACGGCCTTTGTCTGAAGATGCTATCAAGCTACTGTACGTCAGAAAGATCACCCCATCCTTGATGCCAACAGCCTTTGAGTCAAGCTTAGAATAAGGTAGCTTGTTCAGAGCATGTACTGCACGATGGTAAAAAAAATGTGGGGCTAGTGAGATGATTATGATAAACGTTAACAGCATGTCATGCGAAAACAGTGTAAAAATCAAGAAGGCACTAATCTATAATTATTTTGAACATCATGATCTGACTGGTTACTTCAAAACATTATAAAAACAGCCATATTTTTCTTCGAAAGATGAGTGCCATAGTCCATGAATATTAAAAGAAATGGCCTTGATACATCCAGTAGTCTAAGAGTAAAATGCCCCCAAACCACCAACTGCAATTCCAGACATTGAAAATGCCAGCAGAAACTCTATTTAAAATCATAGTCCGTAATTAAATTCTGACAGTCAATTGTCAAAGACAGCAGTTTAATCAGAAAATGAGAATCAAAGTCACTAATTAGAAAAAATAAATAGATGGAATTATGGCTACAAAATTATCTGATATTCATTGTATGGCTCCTTGAATTACTGCTTATCAACAGCATAGATACTATTCACCTTTAAATTTTCCCCCCAAACATTCAGGTGGTCCATGACCACAATTACTTCATTGAAATAACATCTTCATTTATTCTCCTCTTTCTAATTCCCACTGAATTTTGCTGATGAACAAGATACACTTCATCACTAAACCTTCCAGCGGAAGAGAAAGATGACAATAGCAAAACTCAGCAGGCTGTCAGAACACCATGCTGAACTCTAAGTAAGGGTAAGGCTGGGATTGGCCCTTCCTCCACCATCATTCTCATCGATCACATCTGTCCTCACTTGTTATCTGATATTATTGATAGGCCGTCTTCATCCTCAGCCTCAAATCATCCCATCCAGTCATCAAAATTGTACTGAAAATATCATTAACTCAGGCTCACTGCATAAATTATCATCATAGAACAGAAAACAATCTACAAGAGAGGCCCTTTATGTCACATGAGAAGATCAGATCTTGACAACCCATTATCAAAGGATAAGTTTGTATGGCCATTCCTGCAACGCCCATCATTATCAATCTCCCCGATTTTAGACTCATCTCCTGGCTCTTTTAAGATCCTTGAAAGACACCCTTGAAAAATACCCATTAGGCACCGGCACAAAAAACAGCCTTCTTGAGCAAATCCGCAACCACTTTTGTAGCAAACGTTTTGATAATTTGGACCATACCTACCAACTGCAACTGAACTCAAAAAATGGTCCTCAATACCCAGCTTCAAGAAGAAAAATATTTCTGCTTGATCAATCTCATCTAATATCACTTACCATTGAATTTTTGAGTGCACTCTTAGTTTAGCCCCATCAAAGACAATCCAACAATGTGCATCGTCTGATGGTAGTTTTCTTCCATGTCGCAGCATCTGTTCAACATGTACAGCCAAGGAAAAGAACCAACCATTTACAAAGAAGACAAGCAATCCCTTCGACCCAAGGGATTGACAAGACGTGCAAAACCATACAGTGATCACCTATTGACACTTGAAGGACAGGTGTTGACACACGTATATGTAGAACATTTATGTCTAGAAAAGCTTCATTACCTACACGAGCAATACCAAAATTCATCATCAATAAATAACTTGCAAAAAATAGATATTATTTTACACGGAAGTCAATACCTGACCACAAGCGTCAATAACTATGGACAAGGCTGACCAAGAATCCAAGGAGGTTGTCACCAAAGGTCAAAGTGTTGACTTGCAACAGCAGTTTCGTGCATTTACTCCAATTTTTATTTTAACAAAAGTTGGATAAGCAAAAAGAACTCACTCTCTTGTAATTCGATCTACACAACAAGGACCTTCAGAAATAAATTCCATAAACAGATATAAAAGGGTTTTATCCAATTTCCGTCAAAACTGCATTGTTACAAAGAGATCTGGAGATTTTCCAACAAGAGAACATTTACAGTAGCACTATAGAAGAACAGCTTTTACATTATGTACAGCTGTGAACTATTACTTGAATCAAAGTGATTCTGCCACTTTGATGTTTCTTCATATTGAGATATATTCTACTCATGTATCTCTTACACCATAAATAAACCCCCATTTGCTCAAAGTTTTAAAAATGATAATACTAGCACAAGATTCCAGAAAAATCCCTGCTGTTTCAAAAAAGGGTTTTAGCGTTAAATGCTCTGCTGTAACCCCCAGGGAAAAGATCTCCAAAAACATTTTTAGTGAGTTCCTGGGTAAGTGATACAGAGTTATTTGTTGAATTACAAGAGACAAACCTTCCACAGTTGTCGCACCAACATCATCTAAATCTCTCCGAGCATCAAACTTCAAGTCTGAACCAACTGAGATCCACCTATAAATAATGGAAAAAGAACCAAAATAAATAAACCATATGTAACACCTAGAGCATCTACAACTAACTTTGTTAATATCATTGCCTCCCTGTAAAAGTGAACAGAACTCAGGGCTGTCCCAATTCTATTCACTCTAGGTTAGACTGGATATAGGTTAAAAATATTCAGATCAAGGATGCTTCCATTTCTTCAGCCTCTCCTCGTACCAGATTTACTTTGGCATGATACACAAATTTTACTTCTGCTGCCCAGAACAACAAGTCAAAATGCCACTCTTCACAACGTTAAGGGAGGTATATGGAAGGAAATAGTAACAAACCATAAGAAAACTTCCTTGGACCTCAGGATAAACACAAATTCAAAGATGATCTTCTACTCTCATTGGGGAAAATCAGGTTGTCTCGCTGAACATTAGTTGAGAGGACAGCCCAAAGATGTATACAACCACGGCAGAAAACAAATTAAAGAACTGCCATAGTTTTGCAGTTCTTGCACACCTTTACTTAAAAGGCCAGTAAAAGCAACATACTAGTTCTTAAAGGACTGTAGTACACCTCAATTCCTCTTTACAAAAATGCCGAACAAGGAGTAAATCAGTCAATACAAACCTGGTCCTTAGGCAAGCAAGGCCTTGATGCCTGGAGTTTCGGTTTCATAGTGTTTGATCTTTATGCCACTTTAAAGTTTTTGTTATGAAAATAATACCAAAGATTCATTCCCTAGTATGCCTCATTTGTACAGCAATCAGTAGGACGGTAGCCAAGCTGCACACCACCTCAACATTTTTCCAGTAACGTGGTACCAGGTGATGCATATCTTCCCCTGTTCCTCTCTTCCCCTACTGGAGCCCTCTCCACCCTGACCCGCCCTTCTTATTCCAACCAATTAACCTCTCCCTTTGGCTGTTGCTCTGAAGTCTCTCCCACTACCTCTCATTGAAGGATACACAGGCCGTCTTTCCATCACCATCCTCTTCCTCTCCCCCCAATTCACTCCATTACAAGTACCCAATAGCCCTTGACAGCCTAAGGACCTGAATATTGATAGAGGAGGGCTTGAAGAACACAATGTACCCAGGTTGTGAGATAAGAAATTTTATCTCTTTTTTCATGAAATTATTCAGCATTAAGAATCTATACTAGAGGAATGTTGCAGATGTTTAGATACAGAATGGCATGATGGAATAGGAAAATCCTAGCATTAGTTTTTATTTCTCCTCCTTAAGTATTCTGAGGACCATTGCAATTAGGCTAGGAACAATACAAGGAAGATTATTCTAACATGGGATTGGATATAGGAATAGAGATTGGCAAGCCATTATTGGGGGAAGAATGTAAAAACACAAGGAGTAAGGGGATCAAGCATCATCAATATCATGCACTTTTATATGGCATTGTCAGGTGAGTCGTTGAGAAAGCAAGAAACAGAAGAATGAAAACATGGTCGGGTAAGAATCAGGAATTGTTCAAACAGAAGTATTTAGGATACCAAGATTACAGATGGAAAGTTTGCTACTGCAAGTACGTCTCAAGAGTGTGTGGTGGGAGATGGTGATCCTTGGCACAGATATTAGTCTAGCCAATAGACAGAGGGCCTTATTTCGGAAAGATATGTGATGGAGTACCTTAGCATTTGATGGGCGATTCTATTATTTTTTTATTGACCCCATGAAGCTTTAGGGCTCTCTAAGTTAGTGGTCTTGTCACATATTAGCCTAGCCTTAAGCACGTAAGTCACATAGTTTTGAGAAACTTCTACCAGTGAACAAACTGTCTTGGTTACCAACTGTTTCTGTCTTTGCTATCACTTCTTTAGTCTTCTCCATCTCACCTTTTGAATGTCCCTGACAACTGGATACGGTTAATGGTGATACATGATGTCCCACCATCAAACAATTCGAAACTCTCATCCTGCCTTTACTATCTGCCTAGAAACAAGAACCAACACCTACCGTGTAGAAGTCTGACAAGTGTATGTAGCCTTCACTGACTGCAAAGTAATATAAAGAGCGAAGGAAATGAATGCCAGAAAACTTAAATGGAAGACTTACAATGCTTTATGCCTTTCATGTTGCCAATTCTCCCATATCAAACCAGCAATTGTTCGTCCTTTACCCACTCCAGCACCGTCACCAATAAAGAAAGCTGCTCGAGAACCATTTGGAAGATGATGAAGGTGCCTCTGCCAATTCAGATAACAAACAATTACTTCCGCTCCAATCATTAAACCAGTGAAACGAAGTAAGTAACCATATTCAGAGGATTAAATTGAATATATGAAACCTGGCAAGCATAAACAGTGGTCTCAATCTGAAAGGATGACAGTGTTTTGGAAATTTCCAGCTCCTTAGCAATTTTAAGATCATAAGTAGGTTCTGGAGGCTGAACAGCTGACAAAGAAGATGTTTCCACAATAGGATCCGGATGGGGATCACCCATAGAGAGCTTTGCAGGACGCTATAAACAGAAGAGACAAAACACATCAAAAGTCCAGGCATGACTACTTTTAAAGGAGATACACAAACACGAGCAAACACAACACTTTGATGAAAGACTTATAAATGATCAAATAATAAAACTATAGCCTATAGGTGCTTACATAGTCCATAAATGTGTCTGCAACCGGGCCACCTTCATCTTCTTCTCGTTCAACATCCACTGCCACCTGAAATGAATGAAATCATAAAAAAAAACGAGGAAGCAAATTATACACTGCACAGGTTTTCTAAACACAAGAGAATCTACTAAAATAAAATGTCTTTGAGAAAGCAAAAACGAAAATGTCAGAAATTTCACATCCGAACCTTGACCTTCACACTTTATTAACAGCTCAATATTCTGGTCACCAAATATGAGGACATTTCCCCGCTTCCGTTTGCTAGTCTGAGCTACCCAAACAGCACTGAACAGTCTTCTAAGCTACAGATAAAGAGGACCACTGTTGCACCACGTCAATGGACCTACTGTCCATTTCCAGTCATTCTCTGGTTTGTAATGCTTCAATTTGATATCAGATGAAGAATTTATTTGACGTCAATTTTTGTGTCATCCTACAAATATTTACATAACAGCGACTTACGGGCATCCAAGGAAGTAGCCGAGTGTGAAACACCACTCTCATTCCATCTCCTTGAAAGTAAATTTCGCGTTTCCGACAAATGTTGAGCAAACACAAAGAAAAAGCCATGAAGAAGAACACGGATGGCAATGGGACCCGCATACCTCATTGACCTCCTCGAGAGATTCCAGGGGGAGCATCCCCGGTGTGAGGGGGAAGGGAACGGGCGCCGAAGAGAAGTACTGGTGGAGCTTGGTGAGATCAACAGCGAGGTCTACTCCGCACTGCGGGCAGTTGAAGCGGGACAGGCCGTGCGGAACATTGAGTATGGCTTTGCACCGAGCGCAGGGGAGTTGGATCTTCGTCGGATCGATGCCCTGCGCTTGGGGAGGGCCCCGACGACCAGCGCTGGCGGCCATCAGCTCCGGCGGCAGCATCTGCGGCAGCTGGCACTTGGGGCAACTGAACTCCGTCATCCCTGGCGCCACTGTCAGAATCCAGTGGCAACCCGCGCACCGGACCTGCCAGCTTCCCGGCGGCATGGGAGGAGCCTGCGGCACCGAAGGCTGCACCATCTTCCCCCCCTCCCCTCCTCCTCCCCCCTCTTTCTCTCCCCACCAGACGGCTACAGAGGAGAGAGGAAGCCTCCCCGGACCAGCAGTTTCCCGCTGGGATCCGGCGGAGCGAGTAAAGAGGGAGGGAATTTGCAGAGGGTTGTCGTCCGACTGTGTCAGTAATCGTACGCGTGGCAGATTCTCATTGGTCTCAGAGAAGACATTTTGGCGCCCTTAAAATTTAATTTTCTCACTAAAATAATTTGAGAAGTTTCTGAGGTATCCCTAAGTTTGAATTTGTACTATCCTCCTCAAGGCCAATTAATAACATTGCTACTTACTATAATTAATCTATAATGACCTAAGTTTGAACCTTATATTTTAAATAAAAAATGTACGAAATGAAAACTTGGCTGATTCTGAATAGTCCCAAGCACAATATATTTTAGTACCCTTAAAAAAGAACATTATTGATGATAAAATAGTTGATTATTAAATTTAGATTATTTTTGACGAGGACTAATACTTATATGATGACATTATGTGTGATTATTTACTTAATTAAATATCAATATAGAGATAATTGAAAATAATATTATTAAATATCTAACTATGGATTTATTAAATGCCTTCATTACCGATTGTGTTGAATTCATTTATTTAGATGATTTCGTGTGAATTTATTATTTGGTATATTGTTGTGAAAATTATCAATATTTATAAAATATTCTATAGTGAGAAAATTATCAATGATAATATATGAAATAAAATATAACTATGAAATCTTAGTCAAGTTATTAAGCACCCATTATGTTACATCATGACCTTTGAAGAATTTTGATATCAAAGTAATGGTTGAATTCAAACTATTGGTATTGCTATCTAGGTCTTTTTGAATATTAATGAATATATTTCAATTTTTTAAAATAAATTTATTAATCATTGAGGCTATGGTTATAAATATTTAGATCCATATTTAGATCTATATTTAGACCCCATGATTATAAAACATAGTTGAGGTGACTTAAACAAGCTTTGATGGGTAAGTCACCATTTTATCTAGACACATTATCAATTATTTTTTAACATTATCACATCCTTATTAAACATAACCAGACATATATACTTCAAATATAGAGATTTACTTTAATATAATTGTCCACTAATTTTAAAGAAGAATATCTAAATCATTAAAGGACATACAATATATATTCTCCAGGCATTCTAATGGCTAACTATTTTTAGTAAAATAGATGGTAGGAGATGGAAGAAAACAAAGAAAGTTTTTTATTTTGATTTATCTTTTAATGCAATATCTTTCAGATGCTTGATTAGACATGAGCAATTACTTCTAACCCCTTGACAATCTCAAGAACATTATTGACATTTTTTTAATAAAAGATATGGGAGAATTCATTAACTAATTTTTTAAAATAAAAATAAGTCAATTAATCTTTTTCAAGAGATCATCAATCATCCTTAACCAAGTCAAAGCAACAATACCTTCTATATTTAACCTTTTTTCTTCTGAGAAAAGGACAATAAGAATCAAGTTTAAATCATTATCCTCTTCATCAAGTTTCCACATAGTTCTCAAGTCAACACTATTTTCCAAAAATAATAAATGGTAAAATTATCCATATTCTTTGTAGGATAAATTTATGATTAAGCATTAAACCAATCTCTAAAGTGAGTTAATCTATTAATTATATTTTGACCACTTAAAGTTGTAAATTTAGAAGAGAATTTTAGAATTAAAATTTTAAGGAGTTGAACCCAATAATCAACAAATATAATCATAATGTGATCATAATAAGTAAGTTTGAACCTTGTACAATCCTCTTCAAGGGCAGCCCATGACATTGCTACTTGGATAATATCTGCAATGACCTAAAGTTCTTACCTAAATTAATGGAGAATCCCATTAATTTGGACCAATCTCACATGAGTTGTTTAGCAAACTAGACGTAGGTCCATCAAAGTTCTTACAAATATCTCATATATCATACTTAAATCTGAATCATATGAAATAAAATACCTTTTAGCGGAAATATATTATAATTTGGAATTTCTGCAGATTTTATGCTTTTTATGCCCGCAAAATCTAGTCTTCTTAGAGCAGAAAAGGAAAATGTTTAATACATAAAATAATGTAAAAATAGGGAAAATGAAATATTTTTTATAGCTATCACTCAATTTAATTCTTTAATTGCTCATTTATCATGGTCTCTTAAAATGGTACTAAATGTCCAGTACGAGGGAGAGAGAGAAAGAGAGGGATCCAAGCGGGCCCCACCCCTGGTCTATATATATACATATGTTTAATTTTTTATTTATCGAAGGAGTGGTTCTTTTCAAACCGCCGTTTCCCGCCACAAGAAGCTCCGGCCACATCCGCGCCAGTCAGTTGGGCTCGTCACCCTCGCAGTCTTCCTCTCGCACCGATCGCCGCCCTCCATTGATCCCTTTCCCCGCTTCTCCTCCTCCTCCTCCTCTTCCTCCCCCACCCTAAAAATGGCCGTGAGGCGGCACCTCGATTGCCTCCCTGACCTCCCCAAACTTAGCAAGCTGCCAACGGAGCAGATCAATCAGCGGCGGCGATGGCGCGGCGGTGATCGGTGGCTCGTCCACCATCGTCGTCTTCAAATTTCGCGGGTGTTGATGGCTTTGATGGACTGAACGGATCCGGCTTGTTGCAGGAAGAAGGATAATGGCTTCTTCTGTGGCGAGGATGCCGATGGAGCACGGCAACTGGGGGGAGGGGGGAACTGCAGCCTCTTTCCGCAGAGAACTGAAGGAGATCGTGAAGGATCGAGTCTCCCGGGCCTGCGTCGTCTTCTCCTGTGGCGGGAGCAGGAGAGGTTTCTGCGAGGAATCCGACGGCGTCCAGCATTCTCCCCCGGCTTCCCCCTGCTCGACCTGCTCCGATGCTTCGTCTGTCGCGATAGAAACTTTGGGCTCTTTGTCCGCCTGCTCCAGGGGAAGGCGAAATTCTCGTGTCCTCGACCGCTGGGCCGGACCTCAGGCGCGGGAGCCATTCGCGACCGTGAATCGGAAGACTCACGAGGCCGAGCGCTCCGCGTCCTCTTGGACTGCTGAGTCCGTCTCCTCCCGTACTGCCGCCTTCCTTCATCGTGACGGGTCTCCTGTGACGGGATCGCCGACGTCGGGGACCTCCTCTGGCGATCGAGCTGTGTTAGATGATCTCCCGTCCAACGTTCGGGCTTCGTCGCTCATTCAGATGTGGAGGGAGCTTGAGGCTGATGCCGGGCAAGTTCATAGTCCCCCATCTGGGGGCGTAAGCCGCGGAGAGAATTTGGTGCCACTAAGCAAGGGGGACTTTTCTTCTGGTGAGGAATCCTGCGGGAGAACAGAGGCTTGCGACGGTTCCAAATGGGAGCCAGAGCATATAGGTCCAAACAAGTCCAGTGGTGGGTCAAGCGATGGTGCGAAGGAACTTTCATTAGACATTGTAAAGACGCATAGCTCAGAGTTTGAGATCCGGAATTACCCTGCAAATTGTTGCGAAAATAAAGAATATCTTGCTCATGAAGAGTTTGCTGATGGTGCATTCCTCAGAGGGACTATTCACCATTTCATGGGCTGGAAAAAGATTGACAACTTACTTGCACGGATGAGACAGGAGCGCCAATCGGAGCTCAATAAGTTAAAGCTGAACTATCATGTGTCAAGGTTCTCTCATCGAAGTTGGATTCAGGTGATTTCTTTCTTCTTCGGCGTCGAGACGTTGAAATATATCTTTTTGTCACGTGCCATATAAAAATGCTAGGACAAAAAACTTGAAGCAGGACTTCAAGAAGTTTCAAACCAGTAGGTGAAAAGGGCCTAAGACAATAAATTTCTGTTTTACAATTGAGTCTCGAACCTTCGTCCCTTTTATCGCTGGCACCAACCTCCAGTTCTGCACACCAGTCCCATTCCTGGGTCCTTTGTCTTATTATCTTCTCATCCTGCTTCACGTTTTGTGTTGTCATGCTGTCGAACAGATTTCTGTCTATCACATGGTCACGACATAAAACAAGCTAAAGATTTGTGTAAGGTCCCAGACGAGTCTCTTCATTTGAAGTGGTTTCCGTTTTAAGTTCGTTCTAAGCTAATCTCTGCCTACCAGACTTACTCTCACACACAGCACATCGCTTGACTCACTCTATCCCAGTCCATGCGATGTAAGTCACCCTTATTTTCAAATATGACTGAGAAAAAAATTGTCCGCGGGAAAATCCTGAACATGTAGAGAATTTCATGGGAGCATCAAGTCCTTGAATGATGTCGTGCTGAGGGAGGGTTCCCTACCTACAGGAAAAATGAAATAAATGTTATTTTTGGAGGAAAAGACTAATATTAAATGCTCATTATTTATAGAGTACTGATGTGATAAAGACAAATCAGGAATTAACTACTCTGACAAATTTTGACTTTTTTCTCCTTGAAAAATGGCATGCGTTCGTTTTGTATGTCAGTTTATTTGGAGGAACTGAGCTATCGACTGGGTTATTTTGTCATAGATTGGATGCACTGGTTTTTCTCTTTTTCTGGTATCAAGGTTGAATGTTCTTCCTATATCTAGCATTAAAAATAATCCACATCTCTGATTAAGGAAGATGACTCGTGATAGAGGAGAGGATGTATGTAAATACTTGGAACTTGATATGTAAGGAGCTGTATTTCTATTTGGTTATTTTATCATCCCTTCAGGATTATAAAACCAGTAAATTGGATGCCTTTTTATTTCATGACTGATTTTACACTGAACCTTAAATATATAAACCAGTAACAAATTCACAACCTATTTTGGCCTCAGTTTCTCTTCAGAAATCCTTTCGTAGCTTTTTTATGCTTAGTTTGTAGCTTGTCTTAGCTTGTTGTAATAAAGTATTATTTTGAAAAATGAAAGGCCTGTTCTCTGGTTGATAGCATAATTTTCACAACTACATTCACTTGTCATTTTTATCCTTGAAAACATTTTACTACCTTTAAATGACACTGAAGTGTCCTAGTAACACCGAAGTATGGGGGTTGGATTCGATGGAGATTCGTCTCCACTTCTGAAACATACATTTTTCCCATAGGATTTAATGTTCAAACGTCAGAAGAATTATCAGTTTCTCATGCTTTTTCAGTCGACCAGTCAGAAAATGACACTTTTACTTTCTCCTCACAGGCCTTGCTTAGATTCAGGCACGCAGACAGATTATTGAGAATCGCACATCAACAGTTTCGTGATTCAACTGACCTTGAACTAGATAGTTTGCGGCAACGGGGATCTACAATCTGGTTTTTGAGGTACTATCCATAGTCATTTGATATGCTTGGGTGAAAATACTTTATTTAATTAAAACCTGGGAAGGAGTCCAATCAAGAAGTTCATTTTTGACAGATTTTTTTCTTTGCATGCTAAAATAAAGGTGAGAAGGTCACTGTGCTGGGTTACAAATCATGTACCTTTTACTTTTTTGTGCCGCACATAGTTACATTTTTTCATGTACACCACCTTGTATCCAGTTGTGAGCTGTGCTAGTCTCAATAAGAATAATGAATGAGATTATTCTTTAATGATGATGAAATTCTAGATTTCAGTGAGTATCGTGATTTGTGTGGAGAATCCTCCAAATATGAAATTATGAACAAGTGGAGTGATCTAAGAGTTCGCCATGCTGTGAACCTTGAGATATGATTATTCTATAATTTTCTTCGTATAATTCAAATGTAGGTGAACTTTGTGAAAGATTAGCGGTAGAAATTTACAGTTCACTTGCACAGTAGAAGGAACAATTGCGTTCAAGTTTAGGGAACACTATAATTGTTGTATTTTTAAGAACGTTTTGGTTACAATTGATCTGATGCTATACTCAAATTAGGGAAAAATTTAGCCCCAGAAACCAGCATACTATCAACGCTGATCAAGTTGTGGGGGGCAGCGATGTCCCTATCATTCTACGAGGCAAGTCCTCACATATGGGTGATAAATCTACAATAGCAAGCAAAGGGGATCAGGAGGCAACGGCCACAAGGGACTTCAAATCCATGTTAAAAAAAGAGAATACGCCGCACTCCACAGGTGAGGGGCCCCAGGAAAATATTCAGAGTTCGGCTTTGTCACAACAGAAAGGCATCTTGGAGATCACCAATATTAGCTGTGAACGGGCAACTGATTCGTCAAACCTGGACAATGAGGTTGAACATTTGGCAACGGAAAATTTTGAACATGCTAGTCTGAACTCTGTGGATGGTTGTGATGGAACGTGGACATCTGATGGTTCTCAGGGGAAGATTGAATGGCAATGTCAGGGGCGCTCAGTAAGCCCTCACTTGAACAAAAGTTATCCTGAGACTACAGAGATACATGAACTTCTTCTAAGGTATTTTATAAAAAATTATCCTTCTTCGATTTTTGTTCTCTTTTTTTATATCATCGATTTTTTTTTTTTGAAGAAAGTACATTCAAGTTGAAAGTTCACGTGTGAAGAAACTCTGTTTATTTTAGTATAAGCACCATAGAAAAGAGATTTGCATGACTTTTTAACACATGTACGCCCATGTAGCAGTCTAATGGTTTATGTTTATCCTTCACAAGTATGTGTTTTTCGTATACCACCAGTATATCAGCTGAAGGTACGTTCTTATTTGTTCTATCTGCAGAAAACCTGTCTCCACTTCCCTTACCAGCAACTTCCGGAAGACGATGGATAGGTTGGTTTTGTCTCTTCTACAAAAGCAGCAATCCATGTGTCAAGCCTACGAAGATGAGGAATTGCTGCCTTCCCAAAGAATTAATGGCGAATCTATCGATGCAGACGAAGTCACATCTTCGTTGTCAATAATGCCTTTATCGTTTCAGAAGTTTCACCGTCCAGAGGACCATCAAGAGTCTTGTATCACATCTCAGCCATCTCATCAATTTCATGTATGTTTAAGGCGATACCATTTATTGTATCATTTTGATATTTATGTTCTTGGACCATTAATAAGACCATAACTCCTGTTCGTACAGGACCCAATGTTGCGATCATGTCAGGATGTGGAACTCATACATGATCTGAGGAGTGATGTGGCAGAAATTCACCAAGAAATAGTTGAGTTGCGTATACTTTTAAAGAATTGCGTTGATGAGCATTCAAAATTGAAAAGTTTGATTAGGGACGAAGTTTCTTCTATGTGTTTGAGTTCAGGTGAGGAAGAACTTCCTGATTTATGTATAACTTACTGGAAGCATGTGGTTTCGCATCTCATTTTTCATCCATAAAGTTTAAAAATTGAGGCACATAATGGCTGATATAATTGATACTGATTGTATCCAGGATTTTTTTTCCTGAAACTGATTCAAAAAATCTTTTTTATTATCCTGAAAAGAAGATGATAATTCTTAATGCGAAGAATTAAAATTTATCCCTTAAGACCTAATATGATGATTTTAAGGGATATATTTTAAAATGCACTGATCATGATTTATCTCTTTCATTAGTTTTTATTTTCTTGGGAATTGTTTTTGTTGTTCGTTAAACATGACCTGTTTTAGTCATAGTTCTGGTTTTGGAGTCGGGAATGAGTGAAACAGGAGCTGAAAGAGGAGCTTGGAACCCCACAAAAGCTGTCATCTGAGTTGGAATGGGTTGTGAACAAATTTAACTTCAGGTGTCTGCATGCTGACACTAATACATATTATATGCTGCACACTTAATTTTCAGTAAATATTTTTATTAGTATATATTAGTCACCAAATATTCTCCTTTTTTTCTTTTAAAAATATTCTATTTAAGTTTTCCTCATGACATATTTATGAAAATCTTCCGGGGTTTTATAAATGACATTATATGGTTTAGCTTCCAAGGTGACGTTCTTGTTTAAAATTTATAGATCAACTTAGAATGGTAATCTCAATCAGTGAGTGAATGGTGAACAGTTTCTATTTTTAGCTTAGCATCTGTGAAGAAGATAACGAAATACGACACTGTGAATTATGCTATCGAAATCCATGACCAAATGTGTTGTTCTTCTTGTCAAGTTTTTCTTATTCTTTTTATTTCTATTTTATTTTTTTGCAAAAAAGAAGAAAAAAGTCTTCTCAGAGAGAGACCATGACGTTGTTGTCACCTCTTATTCTTCAGCCTGAAACAACCTTAAGCCCCTCAAGTCAAGTTAACATATAAACTCTTCGGCTTGAGTGTCCCACTTTGGCTGTGCATTTTTTTCTCCATTTTTTTATTTTAAAATTTATTCACACCTTATTCTAGGGATATATTGCAGATATTATCTATACTTGCTATCACATATTCGAATAATTACGATGGCAAAAAATGCATGAAAGTGAAGAATAACCATCTCCCATGTTTCCTCTTTCTGAAGAGCGGCTCTTGCAAAGTTTGGTCAATTTAATGATCATAAATGCATGAACTTGTAGAATAATCACCATTCCATTGGGTTTCTAACAAAAAAATTCTGATTTTGTGGTTGTAGTTGGGATCTCCATGGCACTCCAGGCTTCCAGATGGGCACCGGCAAAGAGGGGTCATTGCTGTATTTGCCACCAAGTGCCAATCGACACTCTTCTTTACAGGTATGAGCTTCTTCTGATGGATGAACAAAGTCCTACTTTTCACGTTGATGATCTGCTGTTCAGTTGACTTCTTGCATCCTTGTCAACCAAATAAAATATATATTATACAAAAATCCTTTATTATTCCACATAATCTTGTCAATACAGAAAGGTGCCTGGTTTGGATAAATGTTTCATTTTATTTATTTTCTCGACAAGCTTTTGACATAGATGATCTTCTGTTCAGTTCATTTCTTGCAAGCAAATAAAATATATGTTATACGAAAATATTTAATTTTTCCACATTATAATGTCGATACAGAAAGGTACCTAGTTTGGGTAAATGTTTCATATTATTTGCTCCCACCGGCTATCAACATCAATCTTCATCATTCTCACTCATTATTCTAAAAATTAATCAAACTAAGGGCTGAGATGCTTTGATTCCATCTTTGGTGATATCTTCTTCCTCTTCGTCTTTTCTTGCTTCTTCATGGCCTTGGCCTTGTGTTGCACCATCCCATCACATTTCTTCTTTTTTTTCTCTCTTCTTTGACCGTCATCAGCTTTCAAATCACCTTCTCCATTCATTCCATTGCCCAGATGAACTGATCCACACAAAAATTTAACTTATTCCCTTCCATTTTTATTTTTCTGGGCCAAACCAGACGATCTGATCCTGTGTACTTTGCACGGATCTTACTCCTTGAGCTCTAATTCCTCAGTCCTGATCTTTAAGCCCATATCTCTCTAATACTATAGTTCTCTCTAGATCTTTTTCCCCTTAAAAAGGACTAATCCCTCTCTCTCTCTCTCTCTTTCGCTCTCTTCCGATTTTCAGGTGTGGGCACATGTGTTCATGCTACCGCTGTGCACAAGAGCTGCGATGGGGCGCGGGAATATGCCCAGTCTGCAGCGCTCCGATCGATGATATCGTCAAGACATTCCTTGAGGCAAATTCTTCCTAATTAGGGAACCACTCTTGTTATGAAGTAAATGCAACGCTTTTATATGCACATTTCCTTGTGAAATTTCCCAATTTTGGCTCTGGATCTGCTGAACTTCTTCACTCCTGTCCAGGGAGGAGACGCTGAATGATTGCGGATCAGATCCCGGCCCGCCTCATGGAAATCGAGCCAGAAATGTTAGATATTTTCAGGTGATTTTTCCATGGTTGTTCCATTTTTGGAATAATTACGGCATTCCATGAAGATCATGACTGCTTTAGGCCTGTTGATATTCAGTCTGAATCTTCCATAGCCCTTCATCTTCATGAAGCGGCTCACCCGAATTGACTTCTTGGTCCTCTTATAAGCTGATGATCAGAGGTCCGTTCTGTGTGATAGCTAGAGAGCTGGTATGTAACTTGATATCAGATCTTTTCTTCCTCCATTAAGTTCGTGGGATGTTTGGTCAACCGTTGAACTGGACTCAGAAATGTCAAAGTTCTTGTGGAGATCTTTTTTTTTCCTAAATTTAATCCATTCTTGGAATATTTTCTTAATCTTCTTGGATTGTTTCCAGAATTTTCATAATTTATTGAGTACCTCACCCAAGCTTGGTTTCTTGATCTCCTTGCTAGATGATATGATTAGTGAAATGCTGGATAAGGGTGGACTTTTCTCTGATGAAGAATATTTTATCAGATGAAAAGTTATTCTAGAATATTTGATCGTGATTATTGCCGTCTGATGTAATGATTAACATATATTAATGGCAATTACTGCTATCCGATGTTAATTAGCCAATATTTTCTTGAAGTTTTTTGTCGTTTGATCCCATCATGTGTCCATATTAAATGGGTGATTAAGTTTCTTTGATACTATAATTAGCTAATTATTGATGATGGTCATTCTTGTCTGATGTATTGATTAGTGAGTTGTTGACTTTTTGTTGACGGCTTTTGGTCAACCCTACGTTACATCAAGGAAAATAACAAGATGCCTTGACCCACAGATGATTGATTGTTTGACAAGAGGGAAAAGGGGAGAGGGACTATGAATGTTTTGAAAATCAGGGTTTAGGGATGGTTAGGTCTTTCTCATTGACTATTAGGAAGAGGTTATTAGGTGGGAGGCTCTTCTTCCTGCAGCTCTCATTGACTTCGAGGAAAGTCAAATCTAGCTTCGAATGGGCTCGCAAAGTGTGATTGCTATGGGCTGACTTATGGGCCTGCCCTGCCTCATGGATTCCCAAGCCGGCCAAATGGTCTGACCTTGTTCAGCCGTGTGAATAGTTTCTTATTTATTTAATTCCTTGAGTTGAAAAACACAGGAAAAAACAAGGTGTGATTACTTTTTTGGGAAAGAGGGGAATCTGAATTTTAAGTGCCCAGCTAGGAGAGAGAGAGAGAGAGAGAGAGAGAGAGAGAGGGCTCGGAGTATGAATGGTTTGACCGCGTCGACGCTGGCGGTCGTAGGGATGACGACACGGGCGTGCCGGGGGGGAGGAGCGCGTAGGACCGGAGGGGGCTCTTGTTTGTTTGATAGGGTGGGTGTTTACCCCTCTCTCTCCTCCCTCTCTCTCTATGCAGAGGAGAGAGAAAGAAAGGAGAAGTGTCATGAAGTTCACATGAGCCTGGAGGGGACGTCCATCCTCCAGATGCGTTGCATTGTTACTCATCCTTGTCCTGTGCTCTGGATGGGTTCTCCAGTTTATAGATATATAGAGAGAGAGGGTTTGGCCAAAGATACAAGGTGAGTAGACAGGGAGAGAGGGAGAGAGAGAGAGAGAGAGAGAGAGAGAGAATTTGGGGTAGAAAGAGAACAACCAAGAAAGGTTGGTATAGAGGGTAGAGAAAGAGACGAGAGAGAATTTGGGCAAGAAGGAAAACAGCCGAGAGGAGTTGGTATAGAGAGAGATTAGATTATAAAGAAGACGACAACCGGGGGGTATGATTGATTTAGAGAGGAGGAGAGAGAGAGAGTGAGTCAAATCTCTTGTAGAGAGGGAGGGAAAGTCCGGGTAAGAAGCAGAAACAACCGAGTAGAGAGGGAGACATCGAAGAAGAGTTCTCGAGGAAGAAGGTCAACCCCAAGAAACGTTGGTTCAGAGGCATTGAGAGATAGATAAATGGATCCTGTTGTCTGGGAAGAGAGAGAGAGAGAGAGAGAGAGAGAGAGAGAGAGATGGGACGTTATCTGGTTAACAAGGTAAACCCCAAGAAAGGTTGGCCTGGAGAAAGATATGGATAGAAAGAGAAAGACATATATATATATATATATATATATATATGAACACATACATAAATGGGTAGAGAGAGAGAGGAGCGGATTTGGTTCACCAAACAGCTTAAACAGGGTCATCCTTCTGTCTCTCTCTCTAATCCGCTTCGGACAGAGCCGCTGCCCTCATTAAAGAAAGAAAGGGAAACAATCATCACCCAAGATCAACTCCACCAAGAGGAAACCACCCGCACCCATCCTGCATATTATAATTACCCCAGAACCCTCTCACATGAAACTATTGCAAATACACTCCGCCTTGAAATATGCAAATATTAATTGCGAATATTCTATGGTTCTTGGTCCACCATACCCACATTCTCGAGCATTATAAGTTAGAGCCCTGTGACCGGGGCTTTCTCCATTTGGAAACCAAATTCATCTCTCTATCTCTATCTCTCTCTATCAAAGATTTATTTATTTATTTCAGAATGCCTTTATTTGAAATAATTAATATTTTTGAAAAAAATTAATTATATTTATAACTTGGTTCAATAATGTGCTTAGTGTCGGCTAGTTCTTGAGGTGGATGATCTAATTATATTTTCCCTTATAGGTTAATATTTTTGAGAAATTTTACTTTGGAATAAAATATATTACCAACTAGATTTATTCATAAAATATATATTTAATTATTTTTAATAATTAATAGTTTGTGAAAAAAAATATATTTATAACTTGGTTCAATAATGTGCTTGCTGTCTTCAGGTTCTTGAGGTGGATTTTTTATTATGGTCCCTTATAATTTAATAATTTTGAGAAATACAAATATATCACTAAATAGAAAATATTGAGAAGATATATTTATAATTATTCGGAATAACTGATAATATGTCTCCAAAATTAATTATATTTATAATTTGATTCAATAATGTGCTCAATGTCTACTAGTTCTTGAGGTAGATTTTTTAATTATGGTTCGTTATAATTTTAATATTTTTGACATGGGAATAAAAGTATATTACTAAATATAAATATTAATAAGGTATATTTTTAAATTAAAGACCTGACCTGAATTAAGGATATAAGGAGATTAAGCAATAGGAAGGAGAAGCAGAAAAACGACAAAAAAGTGGTGAGTGCACCCGTGGGCGGGGGGCTCTGCGTCATCGGCAAAGAGGTTCCATGGCGATCCGACGTGGCTAGCTGATCCAGGTCATCTGGTTCGTTCGTTTACTTCCGCTGACCGTCGGTGACTCTGACGCGTCTAATCTGCAGGTTTGTCTTATCCGTCGGTACCATCCCGGGTATATTGACTTCGTGAGGCCCAGTGGGGCCCATTTGTAGGCCACTTCTGCTCATTACTCTCTCCTCTTTCTCTCTCCTTCCTCTCTCTCTCTCCTCTCTCTACTCTATACTCTCTGCTCTGCTCTCTCTCTCTACTCTACACTCTCTCCGTGTGTGTACGTAGGGATGGCGCGTCAGTGGATCGAGGGCCATTTATTGGGGGATCTCTCTACCTTCCGTTTCTCTCTCTACATGGGGGATTAAGGTCACCGGTAAGGGCTGGTGCGTCGCTGTTCAACAAAACCTCTATGGAAAGGGTGGGGGAAGGGATGGGGTCACCGGGCCTACCGAAACGAAGAGGGGTGTAGTTGATTAGGGGGCTACACTCACCTCCCCCCATTAGCCGATATTAGGTGGTGATTCAACCGCCTGTTCACTAAACAATGCTCTAAAAAGACGGTGTTGTCCCTCCCTCTGGTGTCCTCCGGCAAGGGAGAGAGAGTTAGAGAGAGAGAGAGATAGAGAGAGAGAGGTGGGGGAGATGGTGAGGATGTAGTGTGATCTTTCGGCTCTCTCTCTCTCTCTCTCTCTCGCTCGCTCGCTACAAACACCCGCAGACGAGGGAGGGAAGGTGGTGGGTGAGCGAGCGGGAGGGGGACTGAGGATACTTCTGTTTTTCTCTCTTCTAATCTCTCTTGTTTCTAGAGGGAGAGAGAAGGGGAGAGGAAGACCAGGTCCTACGTCCTCTCTTCTCTCTCCTCACTTCTCTAATGCCTCTAGAGAGAGAGAGAGAGAGAGAGAATGTTGTGTCTGTTGGCATCAACGTCCTCATTTCTCTCTTCTCAGCTGCATGTATATTTAGCGGGCGAGAGAGAGAGAGAGAGAGTGGTGGCTGTTAGCTCCTACGTCCTTTCTCTCTTCTCTACTGCGTATAGAGAGAGAGAGAGAAGGGGTGAGAGAGAGAGCGCCAAGGTGGTGACTGTAAACTCGTATATCATTCTCCCTCCCCCGCTTTTCCCCTCTCCACCACTAATTGAGAGAGAGAGAGAGAGAGAGAGAGAGAGAGAGAGGGAAGGAGAGGACTTCCTCTCCCCATTGGCGTCAATTTACGAGGAATCCACCCCACCGACGGGCGGAGGGGTGGTCATTACTCCGCCGCCGTCGCCATTGGGAAGACCCCCCCTGCTACGCATGCATGCATGCAACCCCCCCGCTCTCTCTCCCACCTGAAGCTCCCCACCTTCTCTCCACCTCAGAAAGAGAGAGAAAGAGAAACAGGAAGAGGAAGAAGAAGCAGCAGCAGCAGCAGCAGAAGAAGAAGAAGAGGAAGAAGAAGAAGGACCCCCCTCCCGCCGCCGCCATGGGGAGAAGGAGAGACGAGGGGAACGCCTCTCTCTCACTTCTCTCTCTCCTCTTCTCTGCCTTCCTCCTCTCCGGCGCCGGCGGCGACTCCGGTCCCGATTATCTCTCCCTGCTCCTCGAGGTGAAGAGCTCCTTCTCCGAGGACCCCTTCGGCATCCTCTCCGGCTGGTCCTCCGGCGACCCTTCCTTCTGCCTTTGGACGGGCATCACCTGCGGCGGCGGCGGCGGCGCCGTCGTCGTCTCCCTCAACCTCTCCTCTTCCTCCCTCGCCGGCCCAATCCCCCCCTCCATAGGCCGCTTCACCGGACTGGTCTCCCTCGACCTCTCCGGCAACCGCCTCTCCGGTGGAATCCCGCCGGAGCTCGCCGCCCTCTCCGCCACCCTATCCGTCCTCCTCCTCTTCTCCAACGACCTCTCCGGCGCCATCCCCAACTGGTTCGGTTCTCTCTCCTCTCTTCAAGTTCTTCGTCTTGGGGACAACCCCAAGCTTTCGGGGCCCATTCCTGAATCTTTGGGGGACCTGCCGGAGCTGAGAGTACTCGGGCTCGCCGCCGGCAACTTCTCCGGCGAGATACCCAGAAGGCTCGACCGGCTCTCCAAGCTTCGAAGCTTGATCTTGCAGGACAACTGGTTTTCCGGCGCCGTCCCGCCGGAGATTGGGAGCTGCTCCGAGCTCGTCGTCTTCTCCGCCTCCGGCAACCAGCTCCAGGGGGAGATCCCGCCGGAGCTCGGCGAGCTTGGGAATCTCCAGACGCTGAATCTCGCCAACAACTCCATAGCCGGCGAGCTTCCGAGTTCGCTGGGGAACCTGAGTCAACTCGTCTACCTGAACCTCATGGGGAATCGCCTTCGAGGAAGGTTGCCGGAATCCATGGCGGGGCTGGGCAACCTCGAGACCCTTGATCTCTCCAGCAACGACCTCGAGGGGGAGTTCCCAGCGGCGATCGCCGGACTAAGCAGCCTAGTTTTCCTGGTTCTCTCCGGCAACCGATTCTCCGGCGAGCTCCCTCAGCGAATCTGCGAGGAGTCAACGAGCTTGCAGCAGCTATCTCTCTCTACAAACAACTTCTCCGGCGAGCTTCCCGTCGGTCTGGTTCGCTGCTCTGCGCTCCGGCAGCTCGATCTGGGCAACAATAGCTTCTCCGGCAACATCCCGCCGGAGCTGGGGATGATGACGAACTTGACGGACCTGCTTCTCAACAACAACAGCTTCTCCGGGGAGATCCCGCCGGAGCTGGGCAAGCTCAGGAACCTCCAGACGCTTACGCTCTACCACAACGCCCTAACCGGCGGCGTCCCGGCGGGGCTTTCGGAGCTGGGTCAGCTCCAGATCCTCTACCTCTACGAGAACCAGCTCTCCGGCGAGATACCGGAGGAGTTGTTCAACTGTACCAGGTTGCAGTACGTCGACTTCTTCGGGAACCAGTTTTCCGGCAACATTCCCGCCTCCATCGGCCGCCTGAAGGAGCTCCGGTTCCTCCATCTCCGGCAGAATAGCCTGTCCGGCGAGATTCCGGCGGCGTTGGGGGATTGCCATGAGCTCACAGTGCTCGATCTCGCCGATAATCTCCTCTCCGGCGAGATTCCGGCGAGCTTGGCGGAGCTTCGTGCCCTGGAGAAGTTCATGCTCTACAACAACTCCCTCTCCGGCGGGCTTCCCAGAGAACTTATCAATCTGAGGAATCTCACCAGGGTGAACCTCTCCAACAATAAGTTCTCCGGCGGGGTCATCGTCCTCTCCAGCTCCGGCAACCTCCTCTCCATGGACCTCACCAACAACTCCTTCTCCGGCGAGATCCCCTCTCAGCTGGGGGACTCGCCGGAGATGGAGAGGCTGCGACTGGGCAGCAACCGGTTCACCGGCGGCGTCCCGCCGGAACTGGGGAAGATGACCGCACTCTCTCTCCTAGACCTCTCACACAATCTCCTCTCCGGCGAGATCCCGGAGGAGGTGTCGTCTTGCCGGAATCTTGCCTACATCAACCTCGCCGGTAACTACCTCGCCGGAGCTCTCCCTCTCTGGTTCGGCCGTCTTCCCCAGCTAGGGGAGCTCCATCTGTCCTCCAACAGGTTCTCCGGCGAGGTCCCCGGAGATCTCTTCAACTGCACCGGTCTCCTGGTTCTGGACCTCTCCGGCAACGCCCTTACCGGAGAAATCCCACCGGCGATCGGCGAGCTCCGGTCTCTCAACATGCTCCGGCTAGACGGCAACAGATTCTCCGGCGAGATCCCTGCTACAGTGGGCCAGCTAAGGAAGCTCTACGAGCTTCAACTCTCCCACAATCTCCTCTCCGGCGAGATCCCGCCGGAGCTGGGACAGCTGCAGGAGTTGCAGAGCCTGCTGGACCTCAGCTTCAACAATCTCTTCGGCGAGATTCCCCCTTCTCTCCATAGCCTCTCAAAGCTCGAAGAACTCGATCTCTCCCACAACCAGCTCGCCGGCCAGATCCCCGAGCAGATCATCGAAATGAGGAGCCTTTTGAGCCTCGATCTTTCCCACAACCAGTTAACGGGGAAGCTCCAGGAGGAGCTCTCTCACTGGCCGCCGGCGAGCTTCGAGGGGAACCCGGGGCTCTGCGGGAGCCCGCTTCAGCCCTGTCCGGGGGCGGAGTTCTCCGGGAGGAGGCGGCGGCGCCGCTCCATTCCCCTCCCGGTGTCGATATCTCTGATCTCCGCCGCCGCAACAGTCCTCATCATTGTCCTCGTCGCCGGAGCAGCTCTACTTCTCCGGCGGCGCTCTCACCGGCGGCTACGGGAGGTGAACTGCGCGTATTCGTCCAGCTCCTCCCTCGTGAACCGAGAACTGGTTCTGAAAGCTTCCATGAGGAGGGAGTTCAAGTGGGGAGAAATCATGGTGGCGACGAGGAACCTCAGCGACGAGTTCGTCGTCGGCGCCGGGGGGTCGGGGACGGTGTACAGGGTGGCGCTGCCGTCGGGGGAGACGGTGGCCGTGAAGAAGCTCGCTGGCGGCCATGATAGCGACCCGTTTCTGGAGAGGAGCTTCCTCAGGGAGGTCCGAGCCCTGGGCAGGGTCCGCCACCGCCACCTCGTGAAGCTCCTCGGCGTCTGCACCGGCGGCGCCGCCGTGAACTTCCTGGTGTACGAGTTCATGGAGAATGGGAGCCTCTGGGACTGGCTCCACCGGCCGGAGACGGAGAAGAAGGAGATGAAGAAGAAGATGGGGAGGGGGCTGAGCTGGGAGGAGCGGCTGAGGATCGCTGTGGGGCTGGTAAAGGGCGTAGAGTACCTCCATTACGACTGCAAGGAGAGAATCCTCCACAGGGATATCAAGTCCAGCAACGTCCTCCTCGACGGCAACATGGAGGCCCATCTTGGGGACTTCGGCCTGGCCAAGGTGGTAGCGGAGAGCCGATCCACCGCCGGCGACGGCGCCGGTGACTCTGTGGGGTACACGGATTCCGGGTCCTGCTTCGCCGGATCTTTCGGATACATCGCCCCAGGTAATCTCCTCACACTGAATCAATCTAGCAGGTCCATGATTACTACTGTTTAATAGCTAGTAAACTCAAAATCTCAGGCATTTTTTCACTTGGGCAATTAGGGTTTTGCAGTAAATTCCTCTAGTCCACCTGTCTTCATGTAACTCGGTTTCATTTATGTAACTCGAGGTCTAGGGTTTCCCACCTAGGGGACGACAAAATAGAACGCATTCAATGAGGTCTATATGGGCTCTCCCTGAGTTTTAGGGTTTAATTTCCCACATGCAGCACGTATTTTTACCCTCAACCACAGTTGTTCTTTGATGTAATTAGGGTTTAGGATTCCCCCATTTTCGTCAACATTCTATTTATAGTATTTTTAGTGTGTTCACTTTAGATGGGGACTTTAGGTTTAGGGTTTAACATCTCACATGCAGCATGTATTTTTTACGTCATGCAGTCCTACCCTCAACCATAGTCCTTTTTTTACGTAAGTAGGGTTTACGATTCCCCCGTTTTTGAAGACATTCTATTCATAGTACTTTTAGTGAGTTAACTTCAGATGGTCACTTAGGGTTTAGGGTTTAACATCTCACATTATATTAGGCAGATTCGTCACAATTTGAAATTACTCCAACGATGGCCATGGCTGATTGGTTTAAGGTTCTATTCATAGTTAGTTGGGCACTTAGGGTTTAGGGTTTAACATCTCACATACGGTGAGAAGATTCATCCCCATTTGAAGTAAACTACTTATCCACTAAGGGTTTAGTCAACTTCAGACGGACACTTAGGTTTTAAGGTTAAACATCTCACATACAGTGAGCAGATTCATCATCATCTTAAGCAAAATTACTCCAGTGACATCTATGCCGATTGGTTTAGGGTTTAGGGTTCCACCATACTAACTTACCTTCAGACGGACACCTAGGTTTTAGGGTTTAACATCTCATATACAGTGAACAGATTCATCTCCACTTAAAGTAAATTGCTCCAATCATTGCCATCGCTGACTAGTTCGCCTTCAATATCCTGCAGAGCATGCATACTCGATGAGGGCGACAGAGAAGAGCGACGTCTACAGCATGGGGATCGTCTTGATGGAGCTGGTGACCGGCCGTACGCCGACGGACCCGGCGTTCGGGGAGGGCCCCGGCATCGCCGGGTGGGCGCGAGCAGCCATGAACCTTCGGGCCATGGCGATGGAGGAGCAGCTTATCGACCCCACGCTGAGGCCGCTGGCCGCTGGCGAGGCGGCGGCCATGGCGGAGGTGCTCGAGGTGGCGCTGGAGTGCACCGCGGCGGCGCCGCCCGATCGGCCAACGTCCAGAGAGGTCGCCAGCAGGCTGGTTCGTGTGGAGGCGGGGAGGGGGGGGCTCTCCGGGAAGAAGAGGACCCCTCAATGAGGCAGGTCCCTGGTTTTCGTCTCCTTGCCCTGGTTTTTTAGGGTTCTTCACTTTCACCCTCCCCTGACAGATCACATTCACAGAATCTCTGCGGTTGTATGAGCGATCTCTGTCTCTGTGAGGTCTCTTGAATTGGTCGAGATTCAAGATTCTCCTGTACAATTTCTCCATCGTCACTCTCTCTCTCTCTATCTCTCTCTCTAGTTTGAGGAGAGAACCCAGTAGTACAGGGAGAGTGGTGATCAGGGTTCGAGGGAGACTCGAAATCACGGTCGAAAAACTTGGGATTTGATTAGAGAAACTCTATAGGTTCTCTTATTTTCCGATTAGGACTCCGGCTCTCTCTCTCTCTCTCTCTCTCTCCCTTGACTGTTTTCCTTCTTACCATTCTCTCTCTTACTATCAGCCTCTCTCTAAGTCAAACCTCTCTCTCTGAAACCTAGAGTCCATCCACAGCACAAGACAAGGGTGACAGTGCAAAGGATCCGGAGAATCATCCCCCCCACCCTAGCCGGAGCTCATGTGAACTCCGTGACCCAGCCTACTTTCTTTCTCCTCTCAGGAGGAGAGAGCGAGGGAGAGAGAGAGAGAGAGAGAGTTCCTATTAGCCCATGACGCCAACACGACGACCATATGTCTGAGTCTGACATGTCGTCGTCTAGTAGAGTTATCAACCGTTCACACTCCAGCAGAGCCTCTCTCTCTCTCTCTCTTCCCGATGACTCACAAGATCTGATTCCGATCCTCGGGCAAAACCTCTTCTGTTTTGTTAAATGAACGTGTATTTTATATCATATTGAATATTCCGTAAAAATTAAATGTTGACTTGTTTAAGGGGTTGACGATCACTAGATTGCACGTTTGACTTGGGAAAGGATGGTAACGTCATCATCAACAACCGACTGGCATACTAGCTGGGCTCAAATAAAAGGCCACATAATGGCTTCTAAACCCTAACTGAAGCAACTTGAGCGAGTCATAAACCCTAATTGAGGATACGTAAGCAAGTCATGAGCACTAATTTCTAAACAAAACCGTCATTAGGGTTAGTGGGTTCCAACTAATTAGGCTTTACCGTGTTTTCTAAACCCTAATCTCTAACAGTAGATTGTCATTAGGGTAACAAGGGTTCTAAACCCCAAACCTCTAAACACTAAATCAGAAAGAGGGTAATCTGGCTTCTAAACCCTAATTTGTAAACAATGAGGCCTAGAAAATCATAAGGAATCAGCTATTTGTGAAGCTCAGAGGAGACCATCTCAGCCTACGTCCCTATTATTCATTGAGCAAGAGGACTCTCCATCTTATTCTCTCCATTAGAAGGCCACAGAGTGTAAAACCCTTACAACGTTCCCTATTGTTCCCCCAATTTTGAACATTGTCTAGACTAAATACTCATTTACTCTCTCTCTCTTTCCTCTCTCCTCTCTTCCTCTCTCTCCCTAGCTGAAAGAAAAATAGGTTGCCAACGAGCCTGTTAAATCTAGAGCATAACTAGTTAAAGCAGATGACCCTGAGATCTCTCCTTCTCTCTCTCTCTCCTTCTCTCTCTCTCTCTCTCTCACTCGCTCGCTCTAGTTGAATCCAGAGCTCAATCCATCTGTTTTCGGAGCTTTTCTTGTCAAGAGCCAGTGGAGATAGAGGGGAGTAACCCTAGCTCATGCCACTTAAGGATAAGTACTTTGGATTCAACCCATAGGAATAGAGATGAATCAGAATGAAGAAAATGTAAATGATGCCCATTACACAAGAGTTCTTGACTAAGAAACTATTTATTCAATATATGTATATATATCTAGAGAGAGAGAGAGAGAGGGAGAGAGGGAATCCCTCATATGCAAAATCGATCAAGCATCCATCTCCTAAGAATACTCAAAATCATTATTCATGAAATGCTCGACTGAAGCAAGAACAACCTCATTGTTCAGAGAGAAAAGGGGAAGGGGGCTCCAGTTTATACAATGATTATTTGATCATATACCAGTTGCTAAATACGGCAATCATCAAAGAGAAGTAGGCCATTGATGAAGAGGAAACCCATCATTGAGTGACTTAAAAGGGGAATCTTCTCTCACCTGATCCTACTCCCACCATCTGGGAGAAGCTCAGTACTCCTTGTTTCCAAAGTTTTTGCACCAGAGCTGTGAAGGGATGGGGTGCACAGGGTGATGCGGCCGTTGCTGCGAGGAAAAAAAAGAAGATTAAAATTCTGTGTCAAACCAATGAGAATCAGCCATTTGTCTTTGTGGGCTCCACGAAAATCCAAGTGGATATGCCATGTGGCAGGTGGGACCCATCTTCCAGTTGTGGCACGGAGCGAGAGGGGGGAGAGAGATTCCTACTCCGATTTGTTCATGTTTAGAAGAGTCCAGTGAACTGTTATGAGTAGACCATATTCAAAGAGGCCATTGATCGATGACAACATGATTCGAAGATGAAGAAAATTCATAGATGAGTTCTGAAGATAACCGATTCATTAAAGCTGAGAGAGATTATCAAATCGTCACATGCCCATATGTTCAATTCAGGGGAAGAAAATGGAATATAAAAAAAATAAAATCAGATGGTGTTACTGAAGAATCCTGCCCAAGTGCTTACACATCTGATTAGGCCGGAATAAACTTATTAATATGTCTCAGTGATTAATATATTATGTGCACAACTTTACAATAAATCACTATGATCAGAGATATTAGTTCCTCGAGGCACAGAGAGCCAATTTTTTTTATTTTCCTAGTTCAGACTTGTGGTTAGTGGGTATATAGGATGTCATCAGCCTCTAAGACGCTGATTTGTGAAAAGCTTGACCAGTAACAGAAGAGATGCCCATGGACATTGGAAGTACTGTTTACTTGATGACTTAGAGAGAGGTTTTGCCACTGGCCAGAAAAAGAAGCTCAGATGCTTGCAGTTGAAGAGGCCGAAATGAGACCTGGAGAACCTTGTCTTCAACGTTGATCCTCACTGTTACATGAATGTGGGAATAATTTCTTCCACAGCTTGGAAAAAATCTGATGATTTTGCTAGATCTGGCCTTGTAAGATCCTTACTTTATTCAAAGGGCAACTTTTCTTCTGAATTGCTTTTTTAATATAATGATTCTCAAAAATTAATTGGGAAAGTTCTCATCATATCAAGATCAGCTTCTCCTACAAGACGACCACAACTATTTTTCTTAATAAAAGCACCTTCTGATCGTATAGAACAATATTGAACATGACGTATGATCGATGTAATCTATTTCTTCTTGCGCTGAAATCAGGATATTGATGTTAGAAAGTTGCCAATTAGGGATTTTTTCAACATGCAGAACTATGATTTTGGACCCCTTCAAGTTCGAAATATTTGTCTCCATTATTATTTTCCTGTTCCAACGTGTCATAATATGTTAAAGTTTTTTCTGTAAAGCTCCAACTTTTTAGTTTTGATTTTTCCAACACCCGAAAATCTGATTCCAGAATATTAAACATCAAATCACAAAACCGCGACGTAGTATTAACTACACCTACAATTTGATAAACATCATTGAAACAGAGAAAAATCCCAGGAAAGCTTTAAAACCAATAGATATAATAAAATATGAAGGGAGATTCTAGAAAAAAGTATAAAAGTTATTAGGACACTCACTGAGTGCATCATTGCTGAAAGCTAATCAACTGCACTACTAATTTTGCAATATTTGCAGGATTGAGGGGACTCAAGCATAGTAGCCACTTAAGGTGATTGCATCAGCCAATAAGGTCTCTGCCATACCTAGCGGTGACAGTTTTCCATGCATGATTGATACGTGACATATTTGGTTCTTGATTCTTATAATCAATGGTAACCAAGAAGAGAGAAGAACCTATTGGTAGGATTTTGTCAAAATGACATGGAGAAAGGGAAAAACTGGAATGGCAAAGGATGATATCCTCCAACACCTGCCATGAGGTTGATAAAATATGAGCAGAAAAAATTAAATCCGAATGCATGTGTGAATGCGTCATACACAGCCATCCCTGGCCCATCAGCACCTACTATTATAGAATAAATCACCAGAAGGGCTAGGGATGAAGGTGCAAAAAATACCAAAAAAATGGATGATATTATCACTCTCGCAAATGTGTGCATGTAAACAGTGATATCATCAGAGTCTTTCTCCAATAGAAGTACAAATCCAAGGTTTCCAGAGATTATCTTTCAACTCAAACGCCATCTCCTAGAACATCACACATTTGATGAAGACGTTTCCTACGGAAATTCTTTCTGATGCGGTCAACTAAATAAACAAATTTCGACCCCATCCCGTCTCGCTCTACATCTGGTTTTCAATGCTCTAGGTATGATATCTAAAGTAAGTTATCCATTCCAGAAATCTAATCTCCAACCCTGTTCAAACATTCACGTCCACCCTTTGGTGACCGAATATTATGCCGCATTTGCAGATTCCCTACGTAGAACAATCAACTAACTAGGCTTCGAAGGTCACATAAGCTAACTTTCGGATGTATTCAACATGAAAATTGTATTCTCATGTACAGGAGTCAAACGCCCGCCAATCTGAAATATCTAGGAAACTAGGAACATTTCGAAAAAAAGCTAGACTCCCTGTGGACAATGCGATAATGAATCGTCATACTTCAATAGTGCATTTTTTTTTAGATAATACGAATTAAATTTCCCAATGACATTGAGCCAATCAGGGATGTAGCATGTAGCGCAACAGATAATTGATGAACGCATAGTATTAGGTTTCCAGAAGAATGAGGGAGAGGGGCGGAAATGGAAGAAGATTAGAGGGAACCTCGAGCTCGGCGGATTTCATCGCGATCGGGATGCACACAAGAACGATGCCAAACATGGCGATGGCGGTGTTCCTCCTCCAGTGCTTCGGTCGGCAGTAAGGCCCGCCCGTCATGCTCCACACCTTCGCCCTAAAGTCACCTGTGACCCCATGGCCATGACCGTGCTCCCCTCCTCCGCCGCCCATTTTCCCACAAATCCCTCTCCTCTCGCTGTCTATTTCCCTCACCTCGTTTTCCCACCTGGCAATACGAGCCGAAATCCGTGAAAAACAACAGATCTAAAAGCATCAGAAGGGAAGAATCATCCTGAGGGATGAGGATGGGGAGGAGGGAGAAGGAGAGATCGGAGAGATGGGGGGAATGAGGGGATGCTCAGACCTGCCCTCGCTGCTCCTGCGGTCGCCGACGGCAGCGTGGGGAGAAGGAAGAATGAAGGAGAAAAGAGGCTTCTTTTGTGGTGTACCCCCCTCGAGGGCCCCGTGGGCCGGGCTTCTGAACCCAGCTCGAAGATTTATAGGATGGGCCCGATAAAAAGCTTGGCCCGGATCGACATAGACTCCCCCCATTCGTCAGTGTTTTCTCTCACCACGTGATTGTCTTGCATGGATCACGTACTCTCTCTGTCTTTCTCCTGTGGTCTGAAAATGGGCCTAAGCTTCATAAGCAAGGCCCAAGAGAAAAAAAGCCCGGCCCGGACCGACCAGCCCCCCTATTCGGCCCTGTTTTCTCTCACCACGTGATTGGCTTGCCATCCCACGCGACTCTCTCTCTCTCTCTCTCTCTCTCTCGCTCTCTGAAAATGGGCCTCAGCTTTATATGGATTCGGCCTAAAGGCCAGTTTTGGGGCTCCTGAATCTCTTGAGATAAGGTAATCTTAAAGGTTGGCACTAACATTATGACCTTAATAAATATTTATTTATTTATTTCCAAAAAAAATGTCCCAACCTATGTTTACTATCATATGAAATTATTTAAGCATACCCTATTTTACTCATCTCTCTTAAATTATATCAAAATTAATAAACTATTTCATAGGAGATACAAAACGTGATGAAATAAGTATCTATGATAAATTTTTATGCTCTTCCTTTGACGGACTGATCCATTATATACACCCTTGTAGGATTAACCCTACATTAAATATAATTCAATATCTACTCATTTCGGTACACTAGTTGTACATATTTCATTACACTAAATATAATTCAATATATTTAGTTGATGGGGATAAATTTGAATCCACTTAATTAGAGTCAATGGTCAAATTCTTTGACCAAAAAGCACGTGGATAAGTAGGGAATCCTTGATGAATGCTGGGTTCATGGAGAGCTATAAGAGATTGTCTCAAATGTCTCTGTAAGCATTGTCATAAGTATATTCACAAAAGGCAATATAATGCAATAAAACAATAGGGACTAAAAAGACTTTCCTATTTTTTGAGGAGAAAATACATTTTTTGATTAAATAAATTCATCTTTTGGGTATGCATAAAAAATATATATCAATAAAAATAGAAAATTATGTGAAAAAATAGCAAAGATATATAAATGCACCAAATGACATTATCCATTAAAAATATGATGGCATTTATAAAATTTTATGCAGAAAAAATCTTCACAACTTCACACCTCCACACCCAAAGAAATAAGTATAAAGATAAAAAATGCATTTATTTAATATTAACGTTGGCTCCACTTTCATTAATAAATGGAAGGCCAATACAAGGTCATATCCTTAAGCCCTCAAACTCTATTAAGTAGTACTTGGAAGAGATCTCCTCAACCTCCTCAAAAGTGGTGCGATCCAGATGACTAGAAGCATGTACCTAGTTGCAAGATGATTTTGCTGAAATTAGTAAATAGATGCTGTAGAACACAACTGAAGAACATATGTTGAATTCTACCACTTTAGTTTCCACCAAGGGTGATGGATTTGTAAAATGGAGTGCAATTCTATTAGCATGTTATTCATAAAGTTGAGACCAAATTGATATGAAATATCATAGTTGACTTTATTCCCCATCACTGAGCTACATGTTCTTTATGATATTCACTAGAAAATATGTGTCTACTTGGATCTAACTTGGGGCTTTCCAAAGGTCACAAGGAGAATGGATTACTTAATGGCTTGGAATTTTAAAAAATGAGTCTAAAAAAATAATATTATTATTGTATAAAAATGGGTAAACTATTATTGTGTAATTGTCATGTCAAAATAATGAGCACATCGTATTTTATGTCAAATTGATGTTCTATTCATTGTTGTTCTATGAAATAATATTAGGATTATACCTTATACATTGGTTTGTCTTCTAGAGAACTTTGATCTCTTTTTGTCAAGATTTATATTTGAAATGAGCACATCAAAGTTTCATCTATAATCATCATCACACCTGCATTTTCAAACTTGTTGCAATAATTAAGAACTGAAAATTTCATAATGAGTTGCTTCTTCCCAAAAAACTCATATTTATCCTCCACAACTTGCAAAAAGAAACAATGAATTAACCACTATGTGGGCATTATGGGTTTGACACTAATGGACTACATGGCGATTCTTGATAAAAAGAAATTGAGGGTTGTTAAAAGCCCCAAAATCAATTGATCAAAAAATATTTGTAATCACGAATTTACCAAATGAAAATACTAAAATAGGTAAATAATATGGTAAGCTCAAGATCAATCTACAAAGAGTGAGAATTAGGTATTGCTTAGTGACTATTTAAATCAAATGAGCTCAAAAGAGGGGTGATGACGAATAAGAAAAAAAATTGTTGTCAGAAAAGGAGAAAAACAGAAAATCAATGATGTAGATGATGCTTGAGAGGTAAATACACACATATCATGTAAGTGATTCCAAATGATTCAATTGATGAAATTGAGATTTATAAATATTGAATAAATAATAAAAAGAGAGTTTTGAAGCTTAAATTTAAGAAAAATATCATTAATCTAAAGATTAAATGAGTTTAAATAGGAAAAAATATAGTTTCAACATTGCGACAAGGATCACCAGAATTTTGTAAGGTCAAAAGGTTTTCAAAGGGTGTCCACATTAGAATCTAAGAATTTTGTAAGGTCAAAAGGCTCCCCTTGAATGTACATTGTCATGGGCATTCTCTTGATTCTTGTGTATACTCTAGAGGATGAAGAACAACATCATTGACAGGTCTTCGATGACTATCATTCGGCTGAGTGAAAGTTTGATAAAAATGGTGCTCTAGCAATTAACATCTAGTGAAATTAAGCTTGATGGAGGTGGAGCTTATCTCAAGGAACTTCTTTCTTAAGTTCGTGTAATAAGAGGAGGCTCATATCACATTCAGAATACTTTGAATTGATTGTGACAAGTCTCTTATTGGATCTCTCTACCCTTGATGATGACTTACTTGTCAACCAACAAGAGATTATTTTTCTCTCAAAATTCATGATTTTTCTATTTGATTACTTTATCAATTACTAATGACAATCCTTATTTATTATTGATAAATATTTTATTGATGATTGATCATATATAGTAGCTACTCTATTGACTTATTCTCTATAGAATTTTTTTTACATGGATTCTCAAACCACTTGAGCCTAGCATGCGGTTCCACTTGATCTAGGGTCAACCCACTAAAGCACAATGCACTCTAGGTCAACTTCCAAGTGCAAGTTGGCCAGTAAGTTCCTTCCAATTTTAATATACTTTATTTATTTATTTATTTTAAATTAAAAATGTGAATATAAAAATCATTTAATTAATCATAAATTCACATTAGTCACGTAAAAACTATTTTTCTCAATTTAAGAGAAATATAAAGTTATTTAATATGAGTTAATGCATGCATCATATCATTAACATATCATTAACTCATGAAAATAGATAGAAAAAGCCTATTGATTGGATTTTGTCAACTTATGCATGTGAGATATGGAAAAAATGAAATTGTCAAAGGATGATGCATGTGACACTTTTCATGAGTGTGATAAAATTGAGTAAAAAAAATAATATCCAAATGGACATACAAATGTGTAAAATGCAGCCATCCTTGGCCCATGAAGATCTACTATTATAGAATAAATCATCACATGCAATGGGGATGAAGGCTAAATGATATTATCACTCCCTCAAATGTGTGCATGCAGAGTACTACCGTCATAGTCTGTCTCCATGAGTAGTAAGCATCCAAGGTTTCTAGAGATTATCTTTCAACTCAAATGCCATCTCCTAGAACACCACACACTTGATCAAGATGCTTTCTATCAAAATTATTTCCAATGCAGTCAACTAAATAAATAAGTTTGGATCTCATGCTTTCTCGCTCTGCATCTGGTTTTCAATTCCCTAGGTATGATATCTGAGGCAATTCATCCATAGAAGAAATCTAGTCTCCAACCCTGTACAGGCATTCACGTCCACCCTTTGGTGGCCGAATAGTAGCAGTATTTATTATCTTTGACCAAAGTCAGTTCACATCATAGGAAACTATTTAAGCAATATACAATTTTTAGTTCTCACTCTTTAAATTCTGTACAAGAAATAATTACATATTTATTAGGAGATAAATATGAGAAAATGAGCTTCCTCAACAAATTTTTTTTACCTTCCTTTCAAAAATTAATCAATAATATACACCCCACTAATGTCAACAGCTCAAAAAAAAAAACCACACTGTGAAGATGTCTTAATTAACCCTGAATTAAATATAATTCAATACGTACTAGCTTCATAACACAAAGTAGTATGATTATGCTAATACTTTTAATTGATGGGGATAATTTGAATGCACTTAGTTAGAGCCAAAGGTCGAATGCTTGGACCAAAAGCCAAGTGGATTCGTGCAGAATCATTGACCAATGATGGGTTCATCGGGAGCTAGAGGAAACTATCTTGAATGTCCCTATAAATATCATAATTTGTCATATTCACAAAAGTCAATAAAATACAAGAAAAACATCTATGTACCTAAAAAGGAAAAAAGATATATATCTTCTATAAATAAATTCACATATTCTGGATATGCACAAATAATGAAGATAATATTCATAACATTATCACATTATGAGATGTTGGCATATCAAAAACTTTATACAGAATTTTTTTTGATGCCTTCTCATCCAAAAAAATGAAAAACTATGGATTTATTTAATCCTAGCAGTGGCTCCACTTGCATTAATAAATAGAAGGCCTAGACAAGGTC